AGCAGCTAATCATGTCGGATGCCAAACTATAACTTATAACATACCATGTAGTTTAAAAAAAAGCATGCAGTGTGTGCACCAAAAAAGGATAACATGACGGCATGAATGACTGCACAAGCAGCAAACGATAAAGTATCATTACCGGATTAACTGAATGATCAACTGTTGCCAAAGATAAGTTTGTAATAGAACTGGTTGAAACATTTATAAATATTAAATATGTAAGCAAATCTGTGGATTAAAGTGTAAGAGGTAAAAGATTTGATATAACTATTTGATTATGATTACTGATTAGAAATAATAAAACTCTTATTCGTTTTGCTTAGGTTATGAAATAAACTTATTTGTATTGCATTCGCCACACAATTTTATAAAACATGCTGCAGAATTTGGCATTTTTGCTGTCCATTAAGAAGGGAACACTAGCCCTTCCTCTCCTTCTTCGCATTCACCAGCTGTAAACTCTGGCGGAAAGTTCTGGTTGTTGTCCTCTTCTGGACTGCAGTTCTGTTCCAGAACCTGAGTGTTGCGTGTGCATCCGTTTTACAGATCTGACTTATTTGTATGCAGACTGCTGGTTCCTTGCCTCTCAGGCAGATGTAATCCGACTTTGAAGTAAGTTCTCAATTAGTCGACTCTTACGACATGCTTTTAGGTAGGCAGTGGGTCTATTCTTGTTTTCCCTATAATAGGACCCCGGAACCCACACGGGGATGTGGAACACTGGCCCAGTGAGTCAGCACTGCACTCAAAGTTGTATGGAACTAAAAGGGAACTCTTAAAAACAGTCAATTTTATGAAAAGAGCTTGTCCATCAGCATAAATCAGAAAGCCAACATAAGAAGAAGAAAGGATTTCCTGCCTCAGTGAATTTAAGCCCCAGTGATTAGGAAATCAGGAGAGAAAAACAAAATAAGTAATAATATAAAACAACGCACACAAAAAGACATCCTTTCTACTGAAAACTGAAAAATCATGATGCGGTGAGGCTTAACCAGAGATGCAAGTTGTTAGTCAAGGCTTCAGCTTCACTGCCTAGAGGTCTCCACATCACTGCTCCGTTCCTGTGCCAATGAAAGTTGTTAGTCAAGGCTTCAGCTTCACTACCTAGAGGTCTCCACATCACTGCTCAGTTCCTGTGCCAATGCAAGTTACACACAATGTTCTCTTATGCTCTATTTAAATAACACATGCATAAGGCAGCCGCTAGATGTACCATCACTAACAGTCCCCCTCCAAACACAAAAACAGTGTTAGAATGTCTAACAACGATAGCAAACAACAAACCAATAGTACACCACAGCAATACATACAGTTGTAAATATCATTACTTACTGAGAGCTCTCTTCAAGTCGTCTGTTTTCTTGGCATGTTCTGCTTGAAGCTTCTCTATGACTGTCTGTTGGTTAGTATCATTTTGCTGCGGCATAGACTAGGCAAGGAAAATCAACATCATTGTATATAACTTATTTCACAATAGGTAGCAACAGTTTTTATTTGTGTTATTTTGCTTTATAGGGAGGTACAGGCCATGGCGATTGTGAGTGCGACTAGCAACACCTCCTGCTACCAGAAATCTGCCACAATGCCAACACCTATATTTAACATGTCTCCTTCCATACACCCAGCTTTCATCCATAGCCCAACATACTGGCAGTAATGTACAGACCATGTGTTGCCCATGCAGTAGGATCACTCTTTCAATCTGCTTTGTTAACATCAGAGGAAAGGTAACACCAACGTGTTTACTTTACTTTTTAGACTGGCACAACAGATTAAAATAACTCAAATTTGGAACCAGATAATATTCACAAGTCTGTTAGGACTGTCTGGGAAAGAAAGCAAGGACTGGCCAGTGGACACCAAAGTCTCTATCTCGTATACCTTCAGTCAACACTGACACAGATAATCCTTCATGCCATGATGTCAAACTGTTCAGCATCTTTTCTCTCGATCTCCTTCCCTCCAGCTTTCCTACTGTCATGTTTTCTCCTTCTCATCACATGACCACAAAATGTACTCTTTCTCTTTCTGATGTGGGCAATCAGTTCTCTTTGTGAGTCAGTTTCTTTTAAGACATCTTCATTACTCTTTATATCTGTCCAGGGTATTCTAATCAATCATCAAATATCATAAATTAGTTTTCACTAATTTACCAACTGTCCATGATTAACTTAGTATATCAAGATAGGGTTTATATAGCTTTTAAGAATTCTCTTTCTCGTCCCAACTGATATTTCTAGCAAAATTATAAATGTATCAGCGACCTGTGTAAAATGGTCGTCTTTTTTTTTTTAAAGCATGGAAAGTCCTCTCTGAAGCCTTATGTGCCACTAGGCATAAAGAGAATTGACATGACATGACATAGAGCATTAAAATTTAGCAACTGGGTGGCGAATGGGTTAACATCTAATCCATTCCACGCAGTTGGTTTATTAACCTGCTCCACTAGTCTTGTAGCTAATCTTGCCTGTCTGTTAGCAACGCTGTGTCATTAGCTTATAACTACTGATATCCAAAAATGAAGAAACACGACAGAATACTTGCTACTTACCATCTCTGTAGCTTTCTTCACATCCACTGCCATTTCATTTAGCTGTTCCTTCACAAATTTTTCAAACTGGAGGTGATATGGTAAACATGTAATAATGAAACACTGTTCATACTGGGGATGAAACTAAAACATCTGAGAATGAATTATCTTTAACACTGAAACATTTTTCAAACGTCTTTGCCTTCACCGGCTGTAAACTCCTGCCTGTTTGTCTAATTAGGTTTTGTTTATGGGTTTATTCGATGGATCAACATCATGGCACACGGGTGTAACCCATAAGTGCTTCGTTCAACTTCTAACTCAAGACTGAGTTTGAAGCAGCTCAGCGCAGTGCACGAACTCCGTTGCACTAGCGAGGATCCTGAAATGCTTTGGGTATAGATTTTTAACTCCAAATTTAGCCTGGGCAGCACCATTAGGCTACTCTTTTCAATTTCCAAATGCTAAGGGATTTTTTACGTGCACAATACTACACACGGGCGTCCGATCTTACTACCCAGAGACTAGGGGAAATGACTGAAAGTCCAAGTGGAAAAAAAAGTCCCAGCCTTCGCAGGGGCCTGAACCCAAGACTCCAGCACTTGAGGCAGATGCCGTGCCTTGAAACCACGCGGCCCTGTTTGTCCACTGAGGGATTCTGGTCTTGTACCAGGACTTGGGTTTTGTGTTTTTGGCTTATTTTGGTGCAGACTGTTGGTTCCTCACCTTTCAGGCAGATGCACCCCAGCTCTTAGCCTAACTATGTTAACCAGGTCTCCAGCTGGCAACCTGTTTCCAGATGACTGCAGAGAGATAAGTCCTGACCAGCATGAGTCAATGTGCACTGATGTAGATTGTGATAACACAGCATTCATAAAACATACACATAATGTATCCACAAAACAAACAAGTGTTGTCACTGTCACTTCTTGTTCTTCTTTCGTTCGCCTGAAAAAAGTTGTCTATATCAGCAGTTTTGCCTCTTGTATAAATTTCACTGTCGTTGTTAGATCATTCAGTGGTCCAAAGAGTTTACATTCCACTGTTGTTCTTTCTGGCCAAAAGGTTTGCCTTAATGTGTCAAATTCGGTGAAGCTGGAGCACATCCTCTGCTGTCTGGGGCACCTTTCTACAGGTGCACATGGCTGATACATCTATCTTGAATTTTGTGTACATGTGGTTACGTAATCGGTTGTGCCCTGTTCTGAGGCGGAAAAAATGACTTGTTCTGGTCTGCCAATAATAAAATAGTCACTGTCAATAATGCCTGTATGTACAACTTTTTTTTTAGGGCGGTGTAGACAGGGGGTCGTGAGCCTGAGGATTTACAGCAGCATGGTTAGTGCTTGGAAAGAGAAGAAGGACGTAGAGCAAGAGGTAGACCAAGAACAATATGGAAGGATAATATCAGAGAAACTCTACAACAGCACGATGTGCCTATGGTCGAGGCGGCCAGAAGAGCTAGAAAGAGAACCTTTTATCTCCCTCGACACTCACAGCGGTAAAAGAGGAAGTGAAGAAGAAGAAGAAGAATGGTTAGTGCTGTCACCGTGGACTCTCTGCTGGCTAAGATGTTCAATTTTGCGCCCCAGCAACTCCATCACCTTGCCGGGGGCCAAACCCGAGTCTCCAACATGGGAGCCAGAAGGTGGCCAGCCTCTCCTCATCACAACTATCAACTTGCAATAAAAAGATATCTGAGGTGTTTACCACACTTGGAATGGGAGTTAAGTGAAACTATCCGATCCCGTGACAATATAAAAACAGGCCCTTACCAGTGAAAATCTGTTCTTGACAAGAGACTCAATCTTAGGGTTTAGAGCTGCAGATTGTTGTGCAAGCTGTTCTACTGAGCCTTCTCTGTGAACAGTAAACAGAATACACCCTGATTCAATAATTAACTAATTAAAAGACTGACTGACTTCATGATTCAGTAACTAACTGAACTGAAGCATCAACTTCACTGCAATATAAACTATCTAAAAATGTACTGATGCTGTCCATCTAATCAGAGGTCACGGGTAGTTAGCGTCCTTTGGATATTCTCTCCAGATGATGCCGGTGTGTTGGGAAAGAAGCAGGCAGACAGATTGGCCAGTTCTGCACTATCTGGTGGTGAACTGATAAATCTTACAAATCTTTACAAATCTAGCTTATTTATTTGCTGCCAAATGTTGATTCCTCAACTCTCAATCAACAGGCTTTGAAGGAAACATCTCTTATTAGCTGCCCTTTATGACATGCTTGTTAGAGGGGCAGTGGGTGTATTCTTTCTCTGCCAAAATGGGGGTTTGTTGCTGGTTCCATCAGAATTGGAAATCTTCGCATGCTGCTGAAGATGGGGATGAAGCGCTTATGGGAGTTGTCTGGAGTGCTGTGATGATGATCCCTAATTCAAAATGCCAAAAGAAAGAAAATGGAAAGGGTTAATGCTCGAATGCAGAAGAAAAAGACAAACAATACTCACCTTCGTGCTGGATTGAGATGATTCTCCGCATTTTCTTCATTTCCATTGAGCTCAACGCTTGCATTTATTCTGGTATTCTCTTCACGGCTGTCTCTGGGGCTTCTGCTTTCAGTACTATCATGACCAAAGTCACCACTACCGACACCAGTGCAACCATCATGAGAGATAACTATATAACTGGGTTTAGCAACTAATTTTCTTTTCTGCTTTGATGACAATAGTTGTGACATTTTCTGCTTAACAGCAGAAGCCCTGATTTCTGTATTCTCAGACATCTTTGACACTGTAGATGGGATATTGTTATTGGATGCTGCCCGGACGATACCCCCACTTGTGGAAACTGTGCTGGAGGAAGTTGATGAACTTTTCTTGGAATGCTGGTTAACGTTCAATGCAGAAGATGGAGTTGTCAGTGCACCTCGGAGGGCTGTGTAATTTGCAAGGCTTGAAGAAGTGTCGCTAGAATTCTTATTTCCTACAATAATGATGCGACCTGGAGCTAGCATAGTACCCTGCATGGAGTTTCTGCTGCTGACATTCGTTTTTCTACCAATGTTTTTATCACTACTGCTGGCAGTTGCAGTCCTTACAACTTCCTCATCTGAAACAATCTCCTCATCATTGTCCTCCTCAGGCCCATCGGAACACACCACTTCCATATCCAAAGTCATACCTTCATCTGCACAACTACCATACTCATCATCATAACCCATGATGGATGCTTCATCAACAGTTTCACGTGCTTTAGCTGAATGCTTGCTAGTATTTGGTTCAGACACAGCTTTATCTCCAGATTTTATAACATCTGATGTTTGATCAACAGAAACTGCATTTACAGTTGTAGCCACTGGAGCAGACTGCACAGAAATAGTTTCAGCAGGATTAGAATCTGTTTTATCTGTAGAAGTTTCTGCGCTTACGCCAGAAGTGGGAGATCTACTCTGATCCCCTGATATCACAGACATGTTAAAGTTGGTGGCGACGGGCGCTTCATTTACTGCATAAAAACGGCCATCTTTCTTTTTGAGTGAGCGCGACACTATGTCTAAATAATCAGTGTTTTTATCTTTGTCACTGTCGGTGTTTTTCTCAAGTTCTTTGGTGTCTGTTTTCTCGGTGTCCGGCACTGATTTTGAAGAGATGCTCTTATCTGTTGATGTGACAGTGTCTTCTGTAGGCATTTCTGAATGCAAGTCAGCATCTAACTGTTCAAAACTTCCAGTAGCAGGATTCAAAGTTGAGGCCTCTTTCAGCGACGCTGAAGCATCAGAAGACTGTACTTCAGCAACACTATTTGCCACATCTGTGGATGCTGGATCTGACAGTTCTTGGCTGTGTTCATCGGTATCCATCAGAAGGACATCACTATCATATTCAGCCTCATTATCACTGATGATAATGCTGTCGTCCTCCTCATCTCCTTGCAGCACAACAACATCATTCTCCTCGTTATTCAGATTCTCCTCATCTATCCCTAACTTGGCCTTGCAGGAGTCAATGACTTTCTGCAGGCTCTCTTTATATGTTGAACCAGGGCTGGTTGTTTCAACAGATGTTGTTGAGGAACATGTGTCAGATGATGAAACTACTGAGATGGAAGACAAGCAAGGTGAAGGAGATCCAGCAGCTGAAACATTGTGAGAGGACTTTACCAAGTCCTTGCCATCAGATTCACATAACTGATTTGACTGACACTGCTTTTCTCTTTCATCAGCCTTTGAAACACACTTCCCTATATCTGCATCTCCTAAAGTATCTCCTATAGGGTTCGTTGTCTTTTCTAAAATATTGTCTTGCACAGAAGAAACTAATCTTACAGTCTGTTCAGAACTGGAGACCTGAGCTTCTTCATTTTTATCATGAGCTTTTGTCTTAGAAACTGTAAGCTCCACAGTTCTGTTGGTCACTGAAGCAGAAACCTTTTCATCATGAGGTTGCAGAGTTGATATTTCACTGTTACTTGTGCTCAGTGTTTGGTCTGATGCCTTTTTACTACTGAACTGATTAGAACTTGACAAAGGTACTGAGACTTCATCAGGTGTATTGTTAGAATCTTCTCCATGTAGTTCCGTCTCAGCAGCACAGTCACTCGCAGCAGTACTGCTTTTACTGGAAACTTCTACAGCACAAGCAGCCAATGGCAACACAGCATCAACAACAACAGACGGAGCTCTCACTACTTCAACAACACTGCTATCAGCTTTGTTTTGTTTCTCGTTTTCCAAATCCTGATCATCCTTGTTGTTTTTAATTTTTCCCACTTCTGAAGCTGGGAAGGAAACTATCCCCGGTTCTGATTTTTCCAACTGTTTGTCATGAATTTCTGTATCCGTTTCTAGGTTTTCTGGGAGCAAGTTGTTCTGTACTAACGGATCTGATATAGGTGATGAAATATTTTTTGTAGATAAGGGAGTATCCGTTGTAGAAACGGACACATCTTTTGGAGACAATGGCGCATTTGTGACAAGCTGTGGAGTATCAGAAACAGATAACTGCTTATCTGTGACAGATTTGTCATTTGTCACTGATTTCATCACAGATGACTTAGTAACTGTTGCAGATAATGATACATCTGTTGTGGATATGGGGACAATTTTACGCCCCTCTCTTTCCCCAAGAGTAACCTCCCCCTTTTCTGTAGATTCTCCATCACCAGCATCAACCGCCATCTTGTTTGTAACACCAGCATTGTTTAACTGTGATAAATCTCTTTTGTTGCCAGAGCCGTCCTCAGTCTTGCTGTCAGCTGCTTTCGATGAAGATGGTATTACTTCAGGCTGAATTTTGTCAGAAATACGTTTAATGAGTTGCAGATCTGAGGATAAAACAGTGTGACAAAATGTCAACTTATTTTACATGCCTTCCTTTTCTCTATAAAAAATATGTGGCACTATAACTATGACCTTAAAAACTGATATCCCGAAAGGTTTTGCCAGCCAACCAAATCAGAAAATGAACACTGCCTAAGTTAGATATTCAGCATGGCTATTCAACTAAATTATTATGGCCTGGAGAGAATGAGGCACCTGGGTGTAACTAGAGGGTCTAGCCGGCTCACTATACTCAGAGGAAAGGCAAGACAGACACATAACCAGATTGTGACTGGTTCCATCAGTGTTGGAACTCTGCGCTGGCTGCTAAAGACATGGGATTGCCCAGAGTGCCGTGATGTCAATTTTTGACTCAACTCAACTCACAGTTGATATTCAGAGGCCAAAATGTTAAAAATGGGAACCATCACAGGACAGAAGCCTGAGCCAAATTGTTAAAAGATAATTAATACAGTACAACTGGCAATGATCTGCGAGCCACTCGCTAGGCCTCTGTGGGTGGGTTTTGTTCCGAGGGCCCAAGTTGAATAGCCTAGTTGTACACCATTGCAATATTGTATACACACCAAAAATGCCAAACATACACATTTTAAATCAATCACATCTGTTCAATTTTTAAAAGCACTGTAAATAGCAATCACGTAATTTCTCACCGTTGACACAGCAGCTTTTACCAAGACTCAACAGCAGCTTTTACCAAGACTCATGAATGAATTAACATAAGTGATAGACAGGCAGAAAGACAGACAACACAGACAGAACACAATTTGTTTCTCCAATGTCTAGTTAAGGTTAGTTACGTAACCTTTACAGGACGTTGCAGAACCAACACTAACAGCCCCCGGCTGTTGTGTGGTTTTTCTAGACAAATTTATGTCCAGTAGTTTGCCATCCAATGTCTAGTATGTTATGAAATTATTTACATGTCAAGCCTGGAGTATCTATTCTGATTTTTTAATTATTCAAATACTCCACATGGACATAAAGACAGGAAATGAGTGCAGTGCTGTACTCACCTGGTATATTTCGTCGAAGGATGGTGCCATGGGTTGCTGTCTTGATACTCGTATGTTCAACAGTTTGCTCACTCAGTAAAAATACTCCTTTAGGCATTGGCTTCAGATATATGACCTGCCAACAACAACGGAACATTTGTTCAGAATTCAGAACAACTAATTTGTCTTGAGATAGAATAACTCAGCGAGCCGTAAAGTTTGACTTGCGCCGATATTTCTCTTGACCAAAAGTTTTGCCTTGATATGTTGTATTTGGGACAGTCTTGGAGGACGTGATCTGTTGTCTCAGGTGCTAGGTCCACCACATGTGCAATGGCTGATTCTCCGATTTTACATTTTGTGTGCATGTGGCTGCCAAGTCGAATGTGTCCTGTTCTAAGGTGTAGAATAATGACTTGCTCTCGTGTGTCCATAAAATGGTAATCGTCTTGTGCCAGTTTTGGTGGCTTTCTCATTGATTATTCTCTTCTTTTGTTGATAAGAGACTGGTACATCAGGTTGTTCTTTATTTGCACCTTCCTTAGCTAGTTTATCAGCTCTTTCATTTCCAGGAACTCCACAGTGGGATGGTATCCATTGCTTAGTTACCTTACACTGGGTGTCTAGTTTGGAGAATAGTGTTCGTATACAAGGCAGTTTTCCAGATTGGAGTGCCTGAAGCACCGCTCTAGCATCTGTCAGAAATACCACGGGTTGTGAAATATGACGTATATTTAACAGTTTCTCTGCTGCTATTTTGACGGAAAATGACAAAAAAAATAATAACAGATGGCATGGTACCAGGAAGGAAGGGCAGGGGCCAACCAGCACAAAGATGGGTGACAGGATATAAGTGACTCCTTGAGTATGAAAGTGCATGAGGCGGGAGAGAGCCCGAGTTTCTTTCAGGCAGACTGTGATGAGAGCGATAGTCTGCAAAGGACCTGCTACATGATGATGACTCAGAGTCCATAACTGAAAGCGAGAGGGTGTCTGGCACCATCAGGATGGGAGCTATTCTTTGGCTACTGAAAAAGTGGACAGATCAAGTATGGGAATGTCCTGAGAGCAGTGGTGTCAATTTTTGATTAATTCATTCATACTCAGAGTTAATGAAATGTTCTCATAGGCAATGTCAGAATGGGTTAGCTTCAGATAGTGACTTTTGAGGTTTTTAAGGTTTTGAACAACGGATCAACATCATGACACAAAGGTAGTAAGTAACCCATAAGTGCTCTGTTTTTCTTCTAACTTAAGTCTTGAGTCCGAAGAAGCTCCGCACATGCTCTGTAGCATCGGCGAGGATGATGAAATACTTTGGGCAGATTTTTAACTCCAAATTTTGCCCGGGCAGCGCCGTAAGGCTACTTACTCTATTGGATTTCCAACAGCCAAGGGATTTTTTTCGTAACAGAACAATGCACTATAGCTTGTCTATTTATCTACAAGTGTAAGGAGATTAAAGAAGATGGCGCCATATTGAACACCTCTAGAAGAAATAAGCAGAGAATTGCCAAACACACCAAAATGAGAGATAAAGGGATTGAGGAAGCCAGGATGGCCAAAACAAACTCTAAAACAAATTTTGAAGATAGAGGCCAAGGATGCTGAACTGGATTTTCATCCATGATATTGAAGAGACTACACAGGATAGAATGGAACGAAGGAACAGACTGAGAGCCCTAAATATCACATATAAAGGCACAACAGAGCAGTGATGATGATGTAATGTTAAATGCTGAATTAAAAATCGACATCACAGCACTGGGGACACCCCCTTTTTCAGCAGCAAGCGAAGAGTTAAAATTCTGATGGTACCAGTAATTGGTGATCTAATGATGATATATGACACAGCAAAAGCAGAAAGGAGATGGAATCAAACTCCAAAATCTGACTGGGACAGATGCTGTGGAGACATTTACCTGCTGTGACTGGGTGGCCCCAGGCTTCAAGGATGCCCCCGTTTGCGGGGCTCCTTTCTTGGATGACATGCTGATGTATTTAGACTTGAGAGCCATGGCCGTCTTGCTGACCACAGACTGCTTTTCTCCTAGTCTTCCTTCACCGGCCTGGCATCAAAGAAAGCAGATACATGATGCATTACCAGCATAACTTTACTAAAATGATAGTGTAGCAATTGTTAGCAATAGCAATAATCAGACAAACACTATGTGGTTGCTCTTAATGGGATCCAACTCCAAGACGTAAAGTCGTACACCTATTTGGGCAGTAATGTAGATAAAGATGGGACAACTGATAAAGATATTATTAAATTAATACAAAAGGCAAGAGGAGCTTTCATAGCACTAGGGAATTTGTGGAGGTCAAAAGAAATTAAAACTAAAAGTTTTTAATTCCAATGTTAAATCGGTACTGTTGTATGGAGTGGAATAATGAAGAACAACAAAGACAATTACAAATAAACTATGAACATTCTTTAACTGGTGCCTGCGCAGAATATAGGGAATTAATTGGTATGATACAATCATTATTGGGAGAAAACAAAACAAGTTCCAGTGGGCCAAGGGGTGAGGAAAAGATTCTGGTGTTGGATAGGACATAAGTTGAAAAATCATGAGAACAATATAACTAGAATGTCTTTGCACTGGAACCCACAGGGGCACAGAAATAAAGAAAGACCAAAAACACATGGGAAAGGGAGCTAAAAGAGTGAAGTTAAAAAGATGGGGAGAGCTGTATGCGATAGCGAAGGATAGAACGACTTGGTGTGAGTTGGTTGAGGGTCTATGCTCCATTTGGGGGTTAGAAAGGTGGAAGAAGATGCAATAGTTTTCTTCTTCACCTACAATCAAAGGTGGGTGGAACATAATTTATGTATGTGTCTATCCCTCCTATAATGGAACTATGAGACAATTACTATCACCAAATTATGTTTTCTTCTTTTTCGTCATTTTTTTTATTTTAGCACTTCAGAGGTCTGCTTCTTGCTCTTCTAGCCGCTTCAACCACAGACACATTGTTCTGCTCTAGAATGTCCATGGTATTATCTTGCCATCTTGTTCTACCTTGTGCTCTACATCCTATCCTCTTTTCATGTATGCCTTGTATAGTATAGCACCACAATGCATTCCCTCAAAGTGGGCAAACCATTTGATTTGCTGTCTTTGTACATAATTTAGAACTGGTGCTGTGGCTTTTCTCTTATGAACTTCTTTCTGATATTGCCACTCTTCTCAGGCATCTCACTTCCATGATTACGACAACAACAGCCCATTATACATTTATGTTCCTCATCTTCTTGGAAAACAGAATGTTACGACGAATCTTTGGACCCATCAAAGGTGCAAACAGCAGAGAATGGAGAGTGAGAAGTAAAAATGAAATTCATAATCCGTTTAAATCATCACTGATCACTGGCATCATGAGATCTAATAGACTGAAATGGCTTGGGCATATTGTGAGGATGTCTGATGACAGAGAGGTAAAAATTATACACAAGGGAGCTGAATGGTCTCAGACACCCAGGCAGACCAAGAAGATGAAGACAGACCTGCAAACACTTGGTGTCATCAACTGAAAAGAGAAGGTCAACCAGAGAGATGACTGAAGGCAGGTGATATCTGCAGCAATGAACCTTAAGGGCTCAGAAAGCTGAAGAAGAATCTTCTGTCATTAGCTTGCAGACACATGTTTTTGGTGGCATTTCTGGTGGTGACTGTTGGCTTTGGCATCTCTAGCAACTGCTATAAGCACTTACTGCGAGCACATATTTCTGGATTGTGTCGGGACTAATTGTTTGTTCACCAATTTTCCCCATGGGACAGTGAGGGAGATTTCTGGCACAGGAACAGAGCGAATATGAGGAAACCCGATTGCAGTGAAGTTGAAACCTTGACTAAAACTATACATGTTTTTGTTATTTCCTATTTCAGTGCTTTGTTTGGCAATTCTCTTCATGTTGTGCCCAATATGTTGCCATCTTCTTTGTTGTATAAGTTATGATACAAGGAACTATCCACACATTTCTGTTACTTCTTTACCTGTCTTTAATTAATTTCATGTAATGTTTATCAATATCATTCGCAAAATTATTTTTTAAAAAGCCTCAAATTTACAATGGTATCAGTTCTCTCTCTCACTTTTAATATAAATTTACTGTTTGTTTTCAAAATGGGAGCAGCAGCTGGCCGAACGATTAGAACACTTGGCTCTCAAAGCAGTAGACCCAGGTTCGAATCATCGGTAAGGCTGGGGATTTTTTTTGTGTGTGGGGCAAAATAAAATCCTCACCTGCACAGTCGTGGCGACAGCACTAGCCATGCGGCCGCAAATCCTCAGGCTAAAAAAAGGCAGTAACTGGCAGTTTTTTCAAAATGACTATTATAAAGTATGGGAACAATGGCAGACTTTTGAAAATAGGATGTCTTAGTTAACTGGGAACCACTGTGCTAGGGTATTGAATGTATATCTTTGTCCCTCCTTACTGTCTCCATGTTTTTACCCTGCCGCCCTCACCCACCTCTTACTAACCTTTGTTTTTCCGATTTTCCCATGTCCAGCATGCTTGCTACCATCACTGGTGCCACCGCTGCTGCTCTTCAGTTTGCTGTAGACTGCGTCACTTTTGTAAGGTGTCTGGAAAGGTGCGTACTCAAAAGTTCCAAGTTTCTCCCTGTTTTTACATAGGCGATACAATTTCATGTCTTGAAAACTAAACACGATGACAAAAATACTGGTTTTAATAGTTTAAAATAGAAAATTAACATCAATGTATGCAGAAAACTCATCAAAGTCGGCTGATCACTCAGTCTGTTCTTTATGACCTTTTACCCTCTGGGCTGAGTATCTGCGTGTATAAAGGTACTTGTACAAGTGTGTGTGTGTGTGTGTGCATATATACATATTTATATGTATATTTATATGAGTCTGAGTGCATGTGTACGCATGAGTATGGGTGCCTGTATGTGTCTGTAAGAGCACGAGTGTATGTATGTATTTGTATGAGGGTGTATATATGTGTACCAGTGTGCTTGTGTCTGTGTATATGTGGGCATAGAGGAGTGTATGTGTACATGTATATTCTTAGTGTGTATGCTTGTGTATACATGATGCATGTATGCATTTTTCATTATGTATTTTAAAAATATAAACATGACATGTATTAATGATAACATACAAATGTGGTCTGAAAGATGAGTGCCTGGAAGAGCCGAATGTAAGATGGGCCTGCGTGTCCAATTTGTAACCCTTTGAAAAAAAGTTTGTTCGTTCGTACCCAAATAATTACCACTCCACCCTAAGGTTTAAAATCTAAATCTGGGCGACAGACCAAGACAGCTCCCAGATACCCCGTTCACTCTCCAAAGAAGTTTTAATAAAGTCACCCCTAACGGCTACACCAAACCTGCCGTATTTAGCAGTCCTGTGTGGGTAAAGACTATTCGCTATTAATTTAAAGGCATATCAACGTAAAAAATGTAATAAGGAAATTAGCCGTCTGTGGGCAAATACTAGCAAGAATGGCAGATGCAGACAAGAGAAAGAAAGATGTATGTATAAAAAATAACAACCTTCGCTGTCATCTTTCTGTCTAAATATCATTAGCTATAAGTCACTATGGACGATTCAGAAAAGTGACATTTACAATGAACTGGCCCCTTAACCGGAAGTGTCAGTTTTGCGGCTTTCGACAGAAGTAAAAACAAAACTCAAAAGAAAGTATCATAAACAGCACCCACCTTAATTTCTTGATGTGCACCTCCACTTCTCTCATTGCCTCGGCCATGCCACCCCTGCCTTTCTTCACCACCACAGGACAGACTTTGGACAGCATGAAGCAGGATGATACCGGCACCCACGAGCTGCCAGCGATACAATAGGATATCAATGTTTATCAGGCAACAAAGCTCACATGAGATAGCATCATCACCAACAAGTGCCTTGCCAGCCGGCGTAGGCTTTCATGCATCTTCACTGATGATATCCCTCCATGCCACTGTCTTAAGCCATCCACCATCATTTCTCTTGGTCTGCCTCTTCTACTAGGGATTTTTCCAGTGCTCCTTTGATAGTATGTACACACATAAAAATAAAGCAGGCTTCAAATGAAAACCTTAAACGTGTCACATGATTTACAATAACCAAACCATTGTCCTGTAACCAGTGAGTATTATTATCAAGAATGTCACTGAGTTTATCTGCACCGTGATGTAATGTGCTAGCACTCTTGACACCCTTAACAATACTCACAAGGCAATGGCATGGTTTTTGTGACTTCTCAGAGTTTTACAGTTTCCACTTCAAGCCCCCTTATAGTTTTGTACCAACTGATGATGTTATTAAGATATTCACACATACGTATAACCTCAAAGAAACATTATAAACGGCATTTTCACACCAATACTGTGCTGCCAGTGTCAAACTTGGACACTATCAAACGCGAACCCATATAAAATTAACATCCATGAAATAAGACACCTAAGGAAAGCAGCCAACTTAACCATTCAAGACAAAGAGAGAAACAATACTATCAGAATAGCTGTAAAAACACTAGATGTCACAATATACCTGTTACAGTTTTCATACAAAAACTCTCCATCCCATACCCAAGATCAACCCCCGGTCTCCAGCACATTAGCCCAGTGTTGTAACCATTTGGTCAGCCGTTATTTCATAACTGCACAGAGCATCTTCTTATATCGACCTCATAAGCTAGGATGAGCCCATGAACAAATGTAACCTCACAAGGGATGGGAACACTAACACAAAAGAAAATTTATTTACAATAACAGCCTATTTTTTTAAATAAAAAATGGAAAAGTGACACATAGGAAACTTACCGATCATGAGCACCAAAGAATCGGACGTCTACTTGATCATTAGATTCTCTCAGAGCCTGCAATGGAGACATGTTTTTTTTTTAATTTAAAACAAAATGTTAGAAAAATTGGAGTAAATGTAATTATGCACAATTTTAATTACCAGGCACTAGCTAGAAGCAATGCTTTCCCAATGAGCAAAAGATTAATCATGGCAAAAGAGGTTAAAAAGTAAATCACTAGAATAGAAAAATGCCCGATTGTTAATTATGTTCAAGTAAGACATGTCTAGCCAGATAAGATCACAGACCTCGATTGTTAATTATGTTCAAGTAAGACATGTCTAGCCAGATAAGATCACAGACCTCGATTGTTAATTATGTTCAAGTAAGACATGTCTAGCCAGATAAGATCACAGACCTCGATTGTTAATTATGTTCAAGTAAGACATGTCTAGCCAGATAAGATCACAGACCTCGATTGTTAATTATGTTCAAGTAAGACATGTCTAGCCAGATAAGATCACAGACCTCGATTGTTAATTATGTTCAAGTAAGACATGTCTAGCCAGATAAGATCACAGACCTCGATTGTTAATTATGTTCAAGTAAGACATGTCTAGCCAGATAAGATCACAGACCTCAATTGTTAATTATGTTCAAGTAAGACATGTCTAGCCAGATAAGATCACAGACACTACTGTATTGGAAAGAGCAGGTGTCATAAGTTTCTCAACACTCACTCTTTGCAATCTCATCTGGCTAGGACACACGTGGATGATGGAAGGTGCCTAGGGATATCCTCTATGGATTATTAGGGGTAAGGGGCTGAGTGGTCTCAAGGTATGGTGTCTGTCTACAGTGCTGGAGGTCCCGGGTTCAAGCCCCGGTGAAGACTGGGATTTTTTCACGTGGACTTCTTGTAATTTCCCCTGGTCTCTGGGTAGCAAGATGAGACGCCCGTGTGGATTCTCGCGCATGTAAAAAAAATCCCTTGGCAGTTGGAAATCGAAAAGAGTAGTCTCACGGCGTTGCCCGGGCAAAACTTTGGAGATAAAAAATATCCCCAAAGTATTTCATGGTTCTCGTCGGTGCAACGGAGTGCATGCACTGCGCTGAGATTCTTCAGACTCAGGCTTAAGTTAGAAGTAGAACAGAGCACTTATGGGTTACACCCGTGTGCCATGATGTTAATCAGTTGAATAAATGTAAACATCCTCTACAGTGAATTACAGATGGGTAGTAACATTTAATTGTTTTCTTTCACTAAAATATAATGGTGTATGGAAGCGGGACATGAACGATACAGGTACTGAGGTGGATTCAAAGGAATATAATTTCATAGAAAATGTTGTCTGGAGGAGGCAAATTAGGACTGACAAAGGTTGACAAAGGAGACTATTGCAAAACAGTGAAGCAGTTTAGTTATCAAAGAAGGAGCACTGCCATGTTTCACATTTAGTCAAGTCTGAAACAGACTACAGTTAGTCAAGATTAGAACTTTAGCTGAAACAGACTATAGTTAGTCAAGATTAATTTTTTTTAAACTGAAACCGACTACAGTTAGTCAAGATTAATTTTGTTTTAGCTGAAACAGACTACAGTTAGTCAAGAAAGAATTTTTGCTGAAACAGACTACAGTTAGTCAAGATTAGGACTTTAGCTGAAACAGACTACAGTTAGTCAAGATTAGAATTTTAGCTGAAACAGACTACAGTCAAGATAAGAATCAAAATTAGACAGTTAGTCAAGATTATAATTTTTGCTGAAACAGACTAGTCGGTCAAGATTAGAATTTTAGCTGAAACAGACTTCAGTTAGTCAAGATTAGAATTTTAGCTGAAACAGACTACAGTCGGTCAAGATTAGAACTTTTGCTGAAACAGACTAGTCGGTCAAGATTAGAATTTTTGCTGAAACAGACTACAGTCGGTCAAAATTAGAATTTTAGCTGAAACAGACTAGTCGGTCAAGATTAGAATTTTAGCTGAAACGGACTTCAGTTAGTCAAGATTAGAATTTTAGCTGAAACAGACTACAGTCGGTCAAGATTAGAACTTTTGCTGAAACAGACTAGTCAGTCAAGATTAGAATTTTTGCTGAAATAGACTACATTTGCTCAATATTTGAATTTGAGCTGAAACAGACTATAGTTAGCCAAAATAAGAATTTTAGCTGAAACAGACTATAGTTACTGTCAAATATTGAATTTTAGCTGAAACAGACTACAGTTAGTCAAGATTAGAACTTTAGCTGAAACAGACTACAGTTAGTCAAGATTAGAATTTTAGCTGAAACAGACTACAGTTAGTCAAGATAAGAATTTTAGCTGAAACAGATTACAGTCGGTCAAGATTAGAACTTTTGCTGAAATAGACTACATTCGCTCAATATTTGAATTTGAGCTGAAACAGACTATAGTTAGCCAAAATAAGAATTTTAGCTGAAACAGACTATAGTTAGTCAAGATTTGAATTTTAGCTGAAACAGACTACAGTTAGTCAAGATTAGAACTTTAGCTGAAACAGACTACAGTTAGTCAAGATTAGAATTTTAGCTGAAACAGACTACAGTTAGTCAAGATAAGAATTTTAGCTGAAACAGATTCCAGTTAGTCAAGATTAGAACTTTTTTAGCTGAAACAGACTACATTCGCTCAATATTTGAATTTGAGCTGAAACAGACTATAGTTAGCCAAAATAAGAATTTTAGCTAAAACAGACTATAGTTAGTCAAGATTTGAATTTTAGCTGAAACAGACTACAGTTAGTCAAGATTAGAACTTTAGCTGAAACAGACTACAGTTAGTCAAGATAAGAATTTTAGCTGAAACAGACTACAGTTAGTCAAGATAAGAATTTTAGCTGAAACAGACTACAGTTAGTCAAGATAAGAATTTTAGCTGAAACAGACTACAGTTAGTCAAGATAAGAATTTTAGCTGAAACAGACTACAGTTAGTCAAGATAAGAATTTTAGCTGAAACAGACTATAGTTAGACAAGATTAGAATTTTAGCTGAAACAGACTATAGTTAGTCAAGATTAATTTTTTTTTAGCTGAAACAGACTACAGTTAGTCAAGATTAGAACTTTTGCTGAAACAGACTACAGTCGCTCAATATTTAAATTTGAGCTGAAACAGACTATAGTTAGTCAAGATTAAAATTTTAGCTGAAACAGACTACAGTTAGTCTAGATTTGAATTTTAGCTGAAACAGACTATATTTAGTCAAGATTATAACTTTTGCTGAAACAGACTACAGTTAGTCAAGATTAGAATTTTAGCTAAAACAGACTATAGTTAGTCAAGATAAGAATTTTAGCTGAAACAGACTATAGTTAGTCAAGATAAGAATTTTAGCTGAAACAGACTATAGTTAGTCAAGATTAGAATTTTAGCTGAAACAGACTACAGTCGGTCAAGATTTGAACTTTTGCTGAAACAGACTATAGTTAGTCAAGATAAGAATTTTAGCTGAAACAGACTACAGTCGGTCAAGATAAGAATTTTAGCTGAAACAGACTACAGTCGGTCAAGATTAGAACTTTTGCTGAAACAGACTACAGTTAGTCAAGATAAGAATTTTAGCTGAAACAGACTATAGTTAGTCAAGATTAGAATTTTAGCTGAAACAGACTACAGTTAGTCAAGATTAGAATTTTAGCTGAAACACTACAGTTAGTCAAGATTAGAACTTTTGCTAAAACAGACTACAGTCCCTCAATATTTGAATTTGAGCTGAAACAGACTATAGTTAGTCAAGATAAAAATTTTAGCTGAAACAGACTACAGTTAGTCAAGATTTGAATTTTAGCTGAAACAGACTATAGTTAGTCAAGATTAGAACTTTTGCTGAAACAGACTACAGTCGGTCAAGATTTGAACTTTTGCTGAAACAGACTACAGTTAGTCAAGATTAGAATTTTAGCTGAAACAGACTACAGTTAGTCAAGATAAGAATTTTAGCTGAAACAGACTACAGTTAGTCAAGATTAGAATTTTAGCTGAAACAGACTATAGTTAGTCAAGATTAGAATTTTAGCTGAAACAGACTACAGTTAGTCAAGATTAGAACTTTAGCTGAAACAGACTACAGTTAGTCAAGATTAGAATTTTAGCTGAAACAGACTACAGTTAGTCAAGATTAGAATTTTAGCTGAAACAGACTACAGTTAGTCAAGATTAGAATTTTAGCTGAAACAGACTACAGTTAGTCAAGATTAGAATTTTAGCTGAAACAGACGACATCCCAAATTCCACTAACACCCAAAGATTGTTAGGGCATTAAAACTGTGAACCCATGCAGCAGTGAGAAAATGTTGAATCCATGAGTGACCCCCTCACAGGACCCGCATAGATGGCTGTTTAAGGCCTGACCAAGAAGATCTGAGGTTCTTCTTCGTCAACAACCTTATAAGGTTCTTCTCCAGTTCATCTTCAATAGTTTTTTTTTTCTTTGGGAGATTATTTCCAGATGATTCAACTTCCAAGATTGTTCTCAACTGTTTAACAAAATAATGCTAACAAGATAGTCAAGTATTAGTAAGTTTTCTACTAGTGCAGCTGATATCAGTGTTAACTCTGTTGTACATATCTAGATAAGCATGTGTGGTGTGACAGAAAAAGTGCGAGACAATGACTTTGACTTGGTTCTTAATACCAGCATGGTTGGTTCAGGAAGCAGTAGTCTAAATGAAGGGCAGGGCGTTTTGGACATGAGAGATTACTGGACCCAGAGACAAATTAGGAATATATAGTGAGAGAGTGCCATTGTGAGGCCAAGAGAGTGGCTGTTTTCCATCTCATGATACTGGAGGGGGTGGATGAGATGCTCTGAGTGAGTGATCAGTGACATAAGGACGAGTCAACCCCTAGACAAGAAGACTTGATCTTAAAGTCAGCAAGATAGGATGAGTCCCCTCTGATTGGACATAGCAGTCACAGCAAGCAGCAAGGATTTTTGGACAGTGCCACGAGTTTGGTCTAACCTTATATCCCTGATATAGAGCTTAATCGATTACTGTTCGACTGTTAGGTCTTATCTACATGTTGTCATGTGTAGCATTGGCAAGAGATATTAAACACAGGCTGAACTGCACAGGGAAACTTCGCTGGGAATATATCTCTGAGTCATCCTCGCTCTTCTAGGATTGCAAGTGGTCTGTGATTGCTGTCCTGTGACTGCTCATTATTTATGTACCAAGACATCCCCCCTGACGATGTCTTCTAAACTAGGAGTCAATATTCTAAATACCTCTCCGGTTTGGTCTCTCAACACTTTGGAACATTTCTGGCCTCCCATTCAACCATCCACTTTAAAGATCCCATTCCAAACCTTCTGACAAGCACATTGAATACAGGCAAAGGCAACAGTGGTGCTAAAATCCATTGCTCTAACTGTGGAAGTCTTTATTTAACTCTTTGAGTCCCAAGAAATGCATCATACGTTCCTACCTAGAAGCCCAATGAACGCATGATGCTGCCAATTTTATTACTTTCTTTACTACCCCCTGGGCCTGTGATGCTAAACCCCCTGGGACTCAAAGAGTTAATGTGAGCAGGCCATGTCAGTCACAAGCCTTCTAATGAAAAAAAAAAAACTATCTCATAAATATAAAAAGGTGCCAACAAAACATATCTTACCTTGGCTGGCCAAAATGGATATCCTTTCAACTTTGCCCAAACAAGTGGATGTGGATTGCGCTAAAACAATAAAACATACTCACAGCTGCGCTAATAATTCAAAAAATTTTACTAAAATAAAATTCATTTCAGCTATCATCATCATGAGCTTTATTTTTTATGCTGACAAGACGGACAAACAATCAGACCGCCAGTGATACTATTAGAATTAGATGGGGAAGGTATGTCCTGAGAGCTGGGATGATTAAATCAAATCAGTGAAACTCTACTCAGACTTCTGGTCAAGACATGATTATCAAGTCACAAATTCTTTTCCAACATCAAGGCCTTGAGGCTGATTACGCAGTCATCACCTGCCTCCATTTACCTCTGTGACCGTCCCTCCTTTTTTTTTTTCTCCATACTCCAAGAGTCTGAGGCCTGTCTGTATATTATCTCTCCACGGCGTTCTTGTTCTGCCTCATAGTCTATTCATTGAACTCTTTTGTGCAGTTTTTGTCACTCTGTTATCTGCCATTCTATCTCTGTTATCTGCATTCTATCTCTCTATATCTGCAATTCTCTCTCTGTATGCCCCAATTATTGCAGGAAATCAAAGTGTCACAGCCCATGGACTACAATAAGAAGAGTTGCATATAATAGCATGTGCTGACCACACCTGACTGCAAGTTACACCTGGCTGGTGTCGCTGTTGTGGTTGCCCTATTTATAACTTCTCTGTAGGTTGAACAGGGTATCTGGTTCAAACTGTTAGTCTGCGGTCCAGACTGAGATTTTAATAAAATATTACAGTAGGGCAAACTTTAGATAGCAGCCTAGAGACAACAAATGGTGACATTAGCAACAAAAACACACTATAAATGTTTACTTACACACGGTTCACAAAACCAGTCGCTGTCACTCTGAACACAAGAGTTGTAGTAGCAGTCTGGGCACACCTCAATTTCACTCATCTGCGGAGGAACATTCACAGTCGTATTTATTATTTACTACATTTAATTGCCCGGGATAGTGAAGGAAAGTCTTATTCTCCTGTCCTCTATGACAAGGATTTTTCGAGAATTTCCACAGGGTCATGGCTATTTTTTACTCGATGCAAAGTTTTTAATAAAAATTCCAGGAATGCGAATTAACTGAAGAATACAAAAAGTAAACATGACAGACGTGGACATCATTACCTCATGCTTGCAAACTTTAAGGACTGCCCTGGCGATAGTTGTTACCTTGTTTTGAGCTGCAACGAAAGGAGTGATTATATCTATAACAAATATTCACCACAAGTCTGTAGTTCCTGAAAATTCAAACTGTGAATATATCCACCATGTAAGAGCTAAACATGCATTTCTGCGTCGCCCATGTAAGAGCTAAACATGCATTCTGCGTTCATCCACGTAAGAGCTAAACATGCATTTCTGCACTCGTCCATGTAAGAGCTAAACATGCATTTCTGCGTTCGTCCTTAACTCTTTGAGTCCCAAGTGGTTTAGCGTCAGAGGCCCAAGGGGATATTAAAAGAGATGTAAAATCGGCGCATCCTGTGTTTATTGAGTCTCTAGGTAGGAACCTATGAACGTATGATGCGTCCCTTGGGACTCAAAGAGTTAAAAGGGCAGTTGGAACAGGGTGCTAGGGTTTCTTCTCTTTCTTAGTGTTCACCAGTTGTTAACTCTCTCAGAAACTTATGGTTCTTTGTCCACCTCTGGACACTGGTCTTGTTACAAAACTTTTTAGTTTTACTTGCACGTCAGTTTTACAGATCTGATTTATCTGTATGCAGACTGCTGCTTGCTCATCTCTTATGCAATCTGACTTCAAACACGCTTTTTTAAGCAGCAGTGCGTCTATTCTTCTCTTTCACAAAAGAGGTGCCATGGAACCACCAGGGGGAAAAGGGCACTGCAATGGGAAACAAAGGGATTAAGGAAATACCAACAAGAAAACCTAAGACAAATGTTGTTGAGAGGCTTAAGGTGCTGAACTGGATTCCATTCTTGACATCGAAAGAATGGCACGGGATACAACAAAATAGAGGAATAGGCTGCCAGGTCTATGTGATATACGGCACAACAGGATGATAAAGATTTGAGAACAAGTGTTGCTAGTGTTGTCAATAACTAGTGTTGCCAATAACCAGTGCTGTCAATAACTAGTGCTGTCAATAAGTAGTGCTGTCAATAACTAGTGCTGTCAATAACTAGTGTTGTCAATAACTAGTGTTGCCTTTAGACAGCATGCTGGATGCAGTAAAAGTCCTCTTCTTTTGCCTGTATCCCCCCAGTGGATCATAGGCCCTCAACCAACTCACGTCAAGTGATCCTACCCTTTGCTATTGCATGCAGCTCACCCCATGTCCTCCCTATCTTTTCAACTTCATTCTCTAGCTCCCTTCTGTATTTATTTTTTTAAGTCTGCCTTTATTTCTATGTACCTGCTTCCAGTGCAAAGACATTCTAGTTATATTTAACAAAAGTCACAGTGTAAAAACAAAAGACCCTTTCCACATGCTTAATGCAATGGACATATGGACCTAGGTCCCTGCCAACTGACATGCACTGCAGCATGCCAACATCGTCAAATTTATGACACCGATGCAGATTCACACCCAAGAGTTCAGGCTGACAAGCAGGCATCTAGCAACTGCTCTCCGCCCTCTTACAATTCTCCCCAAAAATTATAAAATTAGCACTGACAAGTGCTTTTCTTTCTCTGCTTCGCGTGCACCGACTGTAAACTCTGGTCAAAGGTCCTGGTTGCTCGTTCACTTCTGCACTTTGGTCCTGTATTGAGTTTTGTGCTCACATACATACATATATACATTTTACACATCTACCTCTTTGGCAGATGTATTCCTACTACGAAGGAAATATCAATTTTCATCTGGACTGGTCAAGCAATTCCCCCCCCCCCCTCCGGAAACCTGTTCCTAGTTTGACCATGGAGGTTTTAGACAGGTCTTGACCAGTATGTGTCCTGGTGAATGTATGGAGGGATTAGATGGGTTTTGAACATTACGTGATCTGGTCTTTTTGACCCACATGTGATTCAACACCTTTGTGACCCTCCTAGTGTTAATGTGCAGTTTAAAAAAAAAAATTTTTTTTAAAATTACCTCCTGTATTTACCATTTTTGTCGTGCACACAGGAAGGTTTCTAAGTCTGAGAATTCAGGGCAGTATTTCTTACCCCCCAACAGAAAGAAAAAAAAATATCCCACCTTACTGAGGATTCAAACCCAGGTCTATCACTTGGCAATGCAGCACTCTAGCCATTCCTCAGTGGGTAGTTGAAGTTAATAAAATAAATTTATACGAGACAAACAAACTGTTCTACTTCAATCAGAAAAAAAAAAAGTAATCTTTTATTATAAATTAGCACTCTTACCACCATTGTACACCACTGAGTTATGATGTATCCATTTTGCATCCGCTAAAAAGGCCTCAGTACAACCATAGTTCTTCTTTTTGATATTCTGGAAATTAGACATCACATAAATTGACAAAACTGGATAAGCTGACAAAATCTCCTAGTACATTAAAAAAAATTTCATTAGCTGCTAAAGCCAGATAACTTCACCAGTACATTCTGTGAAATGATAACTTCACCAGTACATTCTGTGAAATGATAACTTCACCAGTACATTCTGTGAAATGATAACTTCACCAGTACATTCTGTGAAATGATAACTTCACCAGAACATTCTGTGAAATGATAACTTCACCAGTACGTTCTGTGAAATGATAACTTCACCAGTACATTCTGTGAAATAACTTCACCAGTACATTCTGTGAAATGATAACTTCACCAGTACGTTCTGTGAAATTATAACTTCACCAATACATTCTGTGAAATAACTTCACCAGTACATTCTGTGAAATAACTTCACCAGTACATTCTGTGAAATAACTTCACCAGTACATTCTGTGAAATAACTTCACCAGTACATTCTGTGAAATGATAACTTTACCAGTACATTCTGTAAAATGATAACTTCACCAGTACATTCTGTCAAATGATGATAACTTAGGTTGCCGTGTTTTGCCACCTTTCAAGATCACAAAAAAAAACAAGCATTATGTCAGTGTTCTTCTCTCACCCATCCATACGGTTAAGCTTCCTAGCCTTCCCCCTGCTCTCTTTGAGTCAATCTTGCCAGTCGTTACCAAGTGAATGCTAATAACTACATGCGAATCTATTTCTCATGCATTTACAATGATGATGATGTCTTACCAAGCATTATCTGTTAAAACCACTTAAAGCTTCAATAGTATTAACACCTCAGTCTGTTTTTCTAAAGAAAACCTTTACTCATGCCCCAATAGTACTTCTGCATCAGGCAGCTATTATAAAGTAATTACTGTTCCTCATTCTGAATGAGTTAAAGTAATAATAAACTAGGAAAACATTAACTCCTTCAACACCTGTCAATTCACCATACATTTTTCTTGGTCATTCAGAAAAAATACAGTTGTTGTTGTCTTCCATCACAGACAGGTGTTACAGTTAATCTTTTCAGTTCCAAAAAATGTATCATATGTTCACAGGTTCCTACCCAGAAGCCCAATAAACGCAAGACACGACAATTCTACATCTCTCTGCACTACCCATTGGGCCTCTGATGCTAAACCCCCGGGGACTGAAAGAGTGATCGACTTGTATCCGAATTATTAGTTTAACTACTTTTGTAATTTAATTTCCCATTTAAACACTTTCCAGACTTAACTATGTATTGTTTTTAATCTCACCTCCTTAGCTATAAGGAATTAGATAGCAAATGTTTGGGACTCAAAGAGTTAACACAAGTACCAGATGTGTAAGGAGGATATAGTTGTGAGAGAGCTCTCCGCCTGACAACTTTAATTTTTAAGTTGTTTATTTACATCTTCATATCTTCTTCGAGATTCCTTTTACATTATCTTTTACATACTACTGTTAATAGTAACATTAACATGGAGCGCTGAGTGCAAAAGAAATGTCCAGTTGCTAAGTAACTTGTTACCTAAACAATCACATTTTTGAAAAAGTCAACATCTTTACATACTTAGGGGACTGACAAATATAGGAGTTTTAGCGCCACAAATATCATCTAGAATCACACCGGCATCTAGTCAAACATCTGGAAGTCAAGTCAAAGACATTCAGCAAACACACAAAACTTAACATCTTCAACTCTTGTGTGATTCCAGTGCAAACCTATGGAGGTGAGATTTGGAAAGCAACAGCAGCCCTAGATTTTTTTTTTAAATCAGACAATTCTGAGAACCGATGACTTAGAAGAATACTAAATCTGCACTGGACAGATTTCAGATCCAATACACAAATAAGACAAGAGATCAAGCAAAAAATGTTTCCAATTTTATAAGAAAGCGCCGCTTATACTACATCAGCCTTTCACTCTGAATGGATATGACAGGATTTTGCCATCAACCTCTCAAATGGACACCGGAAGGGAAAAGAAAATGGGGGAGACCTAGAGAGACCCTGCGTAGAACCATCATCAGGGAAGGCTCAGCCATGGGCCTAATAAGCATCCAAGACCTAAATCAGGTGGCAACAAACTGCCAGACATGGAGAGCTATGACCTCTGCCCTATGTGCCACCCTCAGCTCAAGAGGAAAGACTAACTAACTAAGTAGCTTATTATAAACATATATGCAGACAACATGCAGCACTTACCTTCTCCAACACTGACAAACTCATTGGATGAAAGATATAATCGGAGTAGTTAGGAAATAATGCAGGATCCAACGGGTGTTCAAAAGTATCACTCTGGGGATAAGAAGTGGCACAAGTAAGCAAACAGCACTGGAGCTACGAACCCATAAAAATAAAATAAAAAATGTAATTTGAATTTCTTCTTCTTCTTCTTCTCCGTGTTTATGGACTGCAAATTCTACAGAAAGTTCTGGTTGTTCATCCACTTCTGGACTTTGTTCTTGTTCCAGAACCTGAGTTTTGCCATGCACATCTCTTTTATGGATCAAGTTTATTTGTGTGTAGACTGTTGGTTCTTTGCGAAGAAAAAGCCCAGTTAATTCCAAAAGTTTAAAAATCAGCTTTCATCACGTTTACAGCTGATTTAAAAAAAAAAAAGAAATTGACGAAATAAATAAATAAATTAAAAAAAAAAAATAGGTGCATAGCTTACAATATCAGGTAATGACAGGACTGACCGACTTTCTACTCCACTAGGACATTACACAGAGTGTCAAATACGCGGATTCACAAATTGCCACCATTCAGATGAGAATCACCTGTGGAGAGGTCCCAGAAGGCCCATACAACTGTTAGGTTATTATAGGTTTAGACTCCTATTACCACTAGGATTGCAAATAGGAGACCAAGATAATGTAGAGGACTGGAGAATAAGACTTTCTTTCAATTTCAATATCTAGCGATAATATACATTTTATTCCTCCAACTGTTCCCAAAAACAGCTGAAGCTAAATGTTTGAGTGTGTAATACATACCCCAACAGTTCTCATTCGATCCAGTGCATAGCGAAGCAATGTACACAGGGTGCTGACAGAAATTAAAGACATAGTTTTCGAGCGGGTATCTGTGCACTCAGCCTGCATGATTTTCTGTAGAAATACATACATATTAAAATAATGCCAACAAGAAGCTTGTCTAATTCAGATTTCAGTGAACAGCGGAGCAGAAATGACACAAGGTTCATAACACTGCCTCTTTGGCAGAATTCTGGCAGAAAATGGGCGCCAGGCGCGGTTACTGTTTTGCGCCGGGGCAAATTTTTTGTTCTGCCAGACGGTGGCCGCTGCATTTTTGATCCATTTGTAGACTGAAAGGATACAGTTTTGTCGTGCCAGCTACTGAGTTGAGTGCATGGCACGACCCTGTGAGCTGCGGATTTCATTTGGAATGTTTTTTGACTGTGACCAACGTGGTGTTGTGACCTGTAGATTCAGAAAATGGCGCCTTGCCATCGTCGCAATATTGGTGGTGCCCTTATGTGATTAATATTGATCGCGTGCGCAACTGCTGATCTGTTAGCGACTTCTGCTACCATCGATGTTGAACTGCATATCTAATGTCACACTGTTTGTGTTAGCACTTCGGATGGCTACCGCGTGTGTATTCTAGTGCATACGCTGAGACAGCAGTCTGTCAATCTTTCCACAAGGGACTGCGACGAACATTCTGTGTGTTTTTTCGTTGGCACAGGAGCGGAGCAACTATGGTGTGACTTGTTTGCTATGAAGCTGAAACTAAGATTACCAAGATTGTCTCTTTACTCTCTTCTTTTTCTTAGCACTCACCGGCTGTAAACTTCTGTGGAAAGTTCTAGTTGCTCATCTAAATTTGAATTCTGGTCTTGTCTCAGAACTTGAATTTTGCGTGCATTTTCATTTTACAGATATTTCTTACTTGTATGCAGACTGTTGATTTCTCAAATCTCAAACAGATATGCTCAGACTTCAGAGGAAAAATCCCTAATTACTGGACTTAAACAACATGTTTGTTAGCCCTTTGCCTTCTATATTGCTGTCAGAGGAAAAAACTGATTGGTTACATTTTTTGCACCAATTTACAGCCACATGATGATGACGCTGTGAAACAAGATTATATAGTTCTTGTTACGTGTTCTCCATTCAATTTGGTGCAAAAATGCCAAATGTGATAAGTTGATATTAAATAGTTGTAAAGCTGTGGCATTTTTAGTACACACTTAAATATGTGGTATCTGGGGAAATGCAAGGGTTAACGGGTGTGGTAGTCAGTGGATTGGAGGGCATTTTGTCTATTCTTCACCCCCCAACTTAGGACATTCACCACCCTTACCGGGCTCCTCCAAATGGGGCGCCGGATCTGCGGCTTGAAAATTATTTCTGATAGACAATAATGCCCGCTCAATTTCTATGGTTTTTATTACTGACATGCCTGATAAATCCTTTTCACACAAACAGGAATTCCTCGCCTGAAGCGTCAATCCTGCAGACTGGAAGAGGGAAAAAACCACCCGCCTATCTCGTTACATGAAAGTAAAGTAAAGAACACCTGCTCACGCCTTTAGGTGTATAGGGCATATAGGGCTAGACCTATATTTTTACAGACCAATCGGCACGAGATGGGTGATGCCAGCTGCCTTTACTTCCCGGGACTGTACCCGGTACACACTCAAGGCTGGGTCGACCTAGGAGCCAAGGTCATTTTTTTTAAAGTTCGGCTCCGCATCTCGTTACTTGATGAAACATTATTTTTTTTGCAGCCTACCTGGACTTTTCAGCGACCCACAGAATAAGGAACACAGAGTTAAATAATCCAGATTGTGGACCTGTGAATCCTCTCTGAAGGAGGGAGCTAATTTCCCTACATCACAGACAGAACATGTAAAAATTTTCAAAATTGAAGATTACCTCACATTCTGGACAGACCCAATCCTGCGGGACGTTGTTTTCAATACTTAAGCATTTTGCATGAAAGACACGAGGGCAGAGCTCACAGCAGATCACCAGACCATCCTTATGACAGATCCAACAGAAGTAGTCGTTCCTGTTATCCTGCACAAAGACAGATGTATACTGTCATCTTATATTAATATCAAACTGTACACAGAGAACAAATAAAACAATTACAGTCGAGTCCTCTTAAGTCGAACACTGATCCAATTTCGTTTAAATCGACATGGTCAGCTTAGTCCCAGCCATGTTATTAGTATACACTCTGTACTATGTGGGCTAGCTGGATAAGTAGAATTTTCCTTTGGTCTGACGGACTTTCTACCCCAGCAGGACATCACACAAGCGATAAACACCAGATGACACAAAGTGCCACCGTGTGGATGTGGATCACCAGTGGAGAGGTCTCGGAAACCGCGTTCAGCCATTAGACCATATTTACGGGCGGGCTATATTGCGGCCTTTGGCAAGAGCCAGGGTGAGGCTTTAAAAAACGAAAAATTTGATCCCACAAGGGGATGACTAGTGTAGTTTCCTTTGGTCCCTGGGACTTCTACTTATCCAGACTCCACTGGACTAATAAACAACATTAACTGGTGCCTGCATAGAGTATATGGAATTGAGTAGAATGATATCCCAGTGATAGATGCTGGCATGGATAGAACACATGGATGCTGGCATGGATATGATACATAGATGCTGGCATGGATATGATACATAGATGCTGGCATGGATAGAACACATGGATGCTGGCATGGATATGATACATAGATGCTGGCATGGATATGATACATAGATGCTGTATGGATATGGATGCTGGCATGGATATGATACATAGATGCTGGCATGGATATGATACATAGATGCTGGCATGGATAGAACACATGGATGCTGGCATGGATATGATACATAGATGCTGGCATGGATATGATACATAGATGCTGGCATGGATAGAACACATGGATGCTGGCATGGATATGATACATAGATGCTGGCATGGATATGATACATAGAAATGGATAGAACACATGTATGCTGGCATGGATATGATACATAGATGCTGGCATGGATATGATACATGGATGCTGGCATGGATAGAACACATGGATGCTGGCATGGATAGAACACATGGATGCTGGCATGGATATGATACATAGATGCTGGCATGGATAGAACACATAGATGCTGGCATGGATATGATACATAGATGCTGGCATGGATATGATACATAGATGCTGGCATGGATATGATACATAGATGTTGGCATGGATATGATACATAGATGCTGGCATGGATATGATACATAGATGCTGGCATGGATATGATACATGGATGCTGGCATGGATATGATACATAGATGCTGGCATGGATAGAACACATGGATGCTGGCATGGATAGAACACATGGATGCTGGCATGGATATGATACATGGATGCTGGCATGGATAGAACACATGGATGCTGGCATGGATATGATACATAGATGCTTGCATGGATAGAACACATGGATGCTGGCATGGATATGATACATAGATGCTGGCATGGATAGAACACATGGATGCTGGCATGGATAGGATACATAGATGCTGGCATGGATAGAACACATGGATGCTGGCATGGATATGATACATAGATGCTGGCATGGATAGAACACATGGATGCTGGCATGGATATGATACATAGATGCTGGCATGGATATGATACATAGATGCTGGCATGGATATGATACATAGATGCTCCATATGATACAGATGCTGAAAACATAGGCTGGCATGGATATGATACATAGATGCTGGCAATATGATACATAGCAATATGATACAGGCTGGCATGGATACTTGCTGCATGTGAACACATAGATTGGCTGGAGTACATAGCTGGCATGGAATGATACATATGCTGGCACAGATATGATACATAGATGGGGCAGAGATACATAGATGCTGGCAGGATATGATACATAGATGCTGGCATGGATATGATACATGGATGCTGGATTGGATATGATACATAGATGCTGGCATGGATAGAACACATGGATGTGAGGATATGATACATAGATGCTGGCATGGATATGATATAGATGCTGGCATGGATATGATACATAGATGCTGGCATGGATAATAGATGCTGGCATGGATAGATACAAGAAGGGAAAAGAAGCTGGCAAATATGATACATAGATGCTGGCATGGATAACACATGATGCTGGCATGGATAGAACACATTGGCTGAGCTGCATGGATATCATATGCTGGATGCCACATGGATATAGATGGATATGAACAGGCGCATGATGCTGGCAAAGGATATGATACATAATGGCTGGCAAAAGAACACATGGATGCTGCAAAATAGGAGATGTGAACATATGATCATACAAGAGCCAAAAGATGGACTGATAGATGAGTGCCTGGATATAGACACACATTATCTGAGAGCAATATAACTAGAACATCTTTGAGTACGGGTCCCCAATAGAAAAAGGGGCAGAGCAAATAAGGCAAAGCAGCAAAATACACATGGAAGGAGTGGTGGGGAGGGGCGCTCCACAGAGAAAATAAGGCATGGGTGAGCTACATAGATGGTTTGAGTTGGCTGAGTGCCTAATTTATGCTCCACAGATAGAAAAAGGGGCAGAGCAAGAAGGAAAAGAAGCAAAATAGATAGAATAACTTGGCGTGAGTTGGCTGAGTGCCTAATCTATGCTCCACAGATAGATAAAGGCGCTGAGCAAGAAGGAAAAGAAGCAAAATAGGATAACGGCGTGAGTTGGCTGAGGGCCTGTGCTCCACAGATAGATAAAGGGGCAGAGAAAGAAGGAAAAGAAGCAAATTAAATAGGATAACCTGACATGAGTTGGGTGAGTGCCTATGCTCCATTTAGAGGATTTAGCTGTTTGATTCTCATCCAGGTTTAGGTTAAGACGACAGATCAACATAATGGTACAAGCGTAGGAAACCCATAAGTGCCCGTTCTACTTCTGACTCAAGCCTGAGTCTAAAGAATCTCAGGGCAATGCACAAACTCTCTCGCATTGGCGAGGATCCTGAAATAGTTTCGGGTAGATTTTTTCATCCTTTTGATTCTCATCTTTAAGATGTTAATCCTGCAGAATGTAAACCTGAAAGGAAACCCCCCCCCCCCCCCCCTTTTTTTTGTAAACTTATTTTAAAAACATGCGCACTAAATGTAATTGCTAGTTACCTCTCCAGTCCCATCATTACGACCAATTTTCCGTCTCTTTGGTGGTTCAGTGGAAAATTCACCAACATCTTTATTTTCAGCCAATTTTCTTTTGTGAGCAGAAGGGGGTGTGGTTTCTGTTTTTTTTTTTTTAAAAAGAAAAAAGAAATTCAAAAATAAACCATGACAAGACAAAAACAAACAAACAAATGAAAGCAATTTTTCTTCTTATTCTTTTATTTGCTTGAAACAGGTCTTCTACACTGCAATGTTGTCTCTAGTAGGAACAGAAATTCAGTCCATTCCTAAGCAAATCAAATATCATTAATAATTATGCCAGAATTAGAAGCAAGATGAAAATTACATCACAGAATCAACTGCCTGAGAGGTGGGGCCAACAGTCTGCATACAAATAAGTCAGATCTGTAAAACAGATGTGCATACAAAATTCAAGTATTGGAACGAGACAAAGGTTTAGAAGTGGATGAACAACACAAATTTTCCACCGGTAAACACAAAAAAAGAAGACATCACATAATAAAACAAACATTTTTAACACACAAAAAAAATAATTACTCAACTACCTCGTGCGGGCTGGTACCTCGTAATGTTCTCCTGCAGCAAGGTTTCTCTCTCGACTGCCTATATGTTTAGTGTATGTGCATGTTCTATGCCTGTGAGTATGTGTTGTGTCTGTCTCTTTACTTTTTTTTAGGTGCTGAGTGTGTTTGGTTTCTGTCAGTATGTGTTGTGTCTGTATGTATCATCAGTGTGTGTGCAACTCTGTGTACGTGCGTGTAACTAAATTTTGACTATGTGGGTGGGTTTTTTTTTTTTTTACTCCTCTCTTGTGTGTATCTTTGCATGCATATTTGAAGATATGCATTTCCCATCCATGTTTTCATACTTTTAATTTATATTCATACTGTGAATTTCCATAATGACAGAATGCCTGACACATAAAATACAACTGCCATGTGAAAAAAAGGGCTGAATGTAAGATGGGCCTGTTTGCCCAATTTATGACCTTTGTAAATAAAGTTAATTCAGTTGTTCGTTCTCTCTCTCTCTCTTTGAGCATTGATAATCAACGGCATCCCAGTTATCTCAGCTTTGTGACTGTTCCATCACATGATAATCATTAAATATCATCTCCATATTGGAGGCTGGCTGAAATTAGTTGGACCTGTTCACTTTTCTCGGCCCATCTACACACTTTCTCAGTCTGATCTAGGTTAGAGGGGTGTCATGCGGTACTGCTTTCTTAGAAAATAGTCTCTCATGTGACCTAGGCTCAGGCTGTGGGTAGGGAGGTTTGGGTTAGGGCCAGTTCTAGATGTTCTGGGGTCGCTGAAAGCTGTGTCTTTGTGCAGTATAGGGCAAGCGTTTTGTAATGCCGGAGTGCCAGGTTCGATCCCAGCTACGGACCTTGCGCTGGTTTCAACAGTGGTATCAAGACGCTGACAGTCCAAAAAGTAATGGCAAACTATTAGACGTAAACTTGCCTAGAAAAACCACAACACCCAAAAAAAAGCTGGGATGGTTCTGCAAAGGATATGCAACTAACTATACAGCGCAGACCAGACAGAAAGCAATGGCAAACAACTAAACATAAAACTGTCTAATAAAACAAAACAAGGTTTTATTCTGCAAGATCCTGCAAGGGTAAGCAAATGACTTTTATTATGTTTATATGTCTAAAGTGCTGTAGCATGTACTGTAGCTGCCTTATCTCGGTGTCATTTAGCTACATTTTTGTTTTCTTCTTCTTCTTCTTTCGTTCGCCTGAAATAATTTATCTATATCAGCAGTTTTGTCTCTTGTATAAATTTCACTGTCGTTGTTAGTTCATTCAGTGGTCCATAGAGTTTACGTTCCACTGTTGTTCTTTCTGGCCAAAAGGTTTGCCTTAATGTGTCAAATTCGGTGCAGTCCTGGAGTACATGCTCTGCGGTCTGGGGCACATTTCCACAGGTGCACATGGCTGATACACCTATCTTGAATTTTGTGTACATGTGGTTACGTAATCGGTTGTGTCCTGTTCTGAGGCGGAAGATAATGACTTGTTCTGGTCTGTCCATAATAAAATAGTCATCTTGTGCTGGGGCTGGTGGTTTCCTGATCGATTTAATGATTCTTTTCTTTTGTGGTATGTGACTGGTACATCTGGCTGCTCTTTTTTCGCACCTTCCCCTGCCAGTTGATCAGCTTTCTCATTTCCAGGCACTCCACAATGAGACGGTATCCACTGCATTACGACTCTTCGCTGAACGCTGAGTTGTGTCAGCAGTGTTTGCAATTCTGGTAGTTTCCTAGACTGGAGTGCTTCAAGTACTGATTTAGCATCTGTAAGCATTACCACATACTGTGAGCCAAGGTTGGTATTTAGCAGTTTCTCTGTAGCTATCTTAATAGCCTGGGTTTCTGCATCGTAGTTATGGCAGTACTTCCCGGTTGGTACGCTGGACTTATCCCTAGTACCATCTGGGAATTCGATGTACACTCCAACACCACCATTTCTAACTGCACTTTCTGCGGACCCATCTGTATAGACTCTGACCCATTGTTCTTGTGGGTATTCTTCATCAATATAACTGAGGGTGGCCATTTTGCGTTGTACACTATCTTGCTCTTTCTTGTCAAATATCCCTTTCACATTTGTCTGGATTTGTACCGTTATTTTACATTTTTCTCTCAATGGGGTTTGTTCCGGAATACTTTTTAGTGGGCAGCCAATTTCTGGAAGGTCAGGAGTTTGTCTACATATTCTTTTTGCTTGGTGTATAAAGCTGCTTCTTTTTAACCGTCCCAAGGCTAGGTTCTTAAATCTATTTTCCATCAGGTGATCTGGCATACTGAGGAACTTTTCAGCTTGTATTTGCAACTTTGTATCTCTGCGTTCTCTCAGTGCCTGTGTTTTCCCAGCTTTCTCCATTTCTAATATGGGGGTTGATTTCATCCCTCCTGTGATGACTCTGAGCGCTTGATTTTGCACTTTGTCTAACTCCTTTAATGTGGTACTAGATGCTGAACACCATGCAGTTGACCCATATTCCAAGTGTGGAAGTATGCTCTGCTTGTATACTTTATTGAGTATTTTCCCATCTGCTCCCCATGTGGTTCCACTTAGTTTTCTTAGTATTGCTGTCTTCCTCCTGGCTTTGGTTGCTGCCTTGTTGATATGTTTTCTCCATGTCAACCTGTCATCAAATGTGACTCCTAGGTATGTGGGCTCTTTATCATCTCTCAGGGGTATTTCGTTTATTTTGATGGTGTCGGCTTTTTGCTTTGGGGAGAGGGTGAATAGTGTGGTGCTACATTTGTCTGTGTTGATGCTGACACACCATCTATTGGCCCATGCCTCAAGTGCATTTGTAGCCCGCTGTAGTGTTTTTGTGGCTATCGTTGCATGTTCATTGGTGCACCACAGTACCAGGTCGTCGGCGTACATTGCCATTTTGATTCCATTTGGTATCTCAGCAACCAGATCGTTGATAAATAAAAGGAAAAGTGTGGGCGACAGGACACCACCTTGAGGGACGCCTTGTCGCAGTAGAACTTTTTTACTTTTAAAACCATCTACCTGTACTCGGGCTCTTCTGTTATGTAGATATGCTTTAATCCAATTGTACATTTTTCCATTTATTTTATAGTTTCTCAATTTCTTCAAAAGCCCCTCCTTCCAAACCTTATCAAAAGCTTTCCTTAAATCTATCCATGCCGCGAGTACCAGTTTCTTATCTTGAAAAGAATCCTCTATTTCTTGGGAGAGGTATGTTGTCTGGTCTTCCGTAGAATAGAACTTTCTAAAGCCCGCCTGCTGTGGTGTAATGATGTTTTCACTTTCAATGTACCACTGTAGTCTGAGGTTGGTGATGCGCTCCATTGTTTTACAGAGACAACTTGTGAGGCTGATTGGTCTGTAGTTGGAGGCATTAGAACTGTCTTTCCCAGGCTTTATGAGGGGTATCATAATTGCCTCTCTCCAGATCTGTGGAACATTCCCTGTTGCCCAGCAAGCATTAAATATCTGTAAAAGCTTTGTTTTGGCTACTTTTCCTAAGTTTCTGATCATTTCGTTTGATATACCATCTGCTCCTGGTGACTTCCGCATTTTCAGCTTTGAAATGGCCAACTCCAGTTCATTAAGTGTAATTGGCACCTCTAGCGCCTCTGATGTTATTTCTTTCTGACTTCTAAATTGTGTCTTTTCTTGAATTTCGTGTTTTTTCTCTGAACTGATTTCAATGTCGTTATCTAAAGCAAAAGTGTCCGCAAATAGGTTGGCTGCCTCTTTTCCTGTGACCATGTTTCCGTCTTTCTGCAGCGTGATCTTTGAGTTTCACCCTGTGTCTTCATCATTAATTTGTTTCACAAGCTTCCATAATTTTCTTGTGTCTTTTTCAAAGTTCAGCGACCTTGTTTTCTCCTGCCAGCTTTCCCTTCTAACCTGCAGCTTTGCCCTTACAAATTTTGCTTTTGCATGCTGGTAGTTATTGTGATGTTCTTGGTTTGGCCTGGTCTCTGCTATCTTTCTGGATGTTTCTACTTCGTTATGTAAATTTTCTAGCTCATTACTCCAGTATGGCTTATAATGCTTACGGGCACCTCTTGGTATTGATTCTCCTGCTGCCTTTAGTACGCATTTGTTAAATTCTTTAACTACTTTGTTTATATCCTGGTCTACGCTGAGATTTCCAAGCAGTATACTGGTACGGTGCTTGAACATTGTCCAGTCAGCCTTCTTGTAGTTCCACCTTGGCAGCGTACTAGTTTCTCTGACCTTCTCATTTTCTACATTCAGGAAGACCGGTCGATGGTCACTGCCTCCCAGTTGATTTCCAACAACTCGTTTAATGTTCCATTCCAGATCTGGAGAGTGAAATGCTAGGTCTGGGGTAGTAGTGGTGTGCCACGACCTCGAGTAGAATGTGGGTGGATCAGTTGGCCTATTAATAAGAACAAATCTGTTCTCATCCTGCCACTCCTCCAGTTTCTCTCCTCTCTGGTCTATATGGTCATATCCCCAGCTTTGTGAGTGGCTGTTAAAGTCTCCACATAGAATCATCTTTTCTTCCACTGAGATTGTGTCTAAAGCCTGGGGGACGATCATTTGGGCAGTAATAATTGATCAGGTAGAAGTCTGCATTTCCAGTTTGTAGTTTCAGAATCTGATATTCTGCTCCATCCATAAATACTTTAGTCTGGCTAGCAGTGATATTGTTCCTCACAAGAGTCAATATTCCACCCTTTTTCCTGCCTTTCCGGTCTGATCGGAAGCACTGATAACCTCTGATTTTGAAGACTGTGTCTTCAGTGAGGTGGGTTTCCTGTAGACAGCATATATGAATCTGTTCCTCATTTAGAATATTTTCTAACTCTAGCTTTTTATTTGTAATCCCCTCTGCATTCCAGTGCATTAATTTGACTCCTTTCTTAGTTCGGCCAGATGCTCTATTCTCACGTCCCCTGGCTCCACAGGACATTTGAGAAGGACCTCCAGTAATTTGGGTTGGGCCTCTTCGAGGCAGAGGGCCCTGCACTGCTCCTGCCTGAGAGTCCATCACAGGGCGAGCACCATAACGTTTTGCTGATATAGACATATTTCCATGGCGTGTATGCGTGGCATCCTGATTGCTGTGGTGCGCCTCTTGGCTGGTTGCCTACGACTTCAGCACCTTGTTTTACTAGGGTAGACTGTGATAATACTCGAGGAGAGAAGGCTCATCCATTCATCTTTCGCCTTTACCTCGTTTGTTGTCCCATCCAGTTTCCCGCTGGGGGTTGAGACCCCAACCTTCAACTGGATTGCTGGGAAGAACAGGGTCCACCACGTGAAGGTGAGGTAGGCTTGAGCAAGAGAGGCTAATAGACATTAAGAGTCTTGTATTGCGCATCATTGCTCCATTGTTTTCAAATTCAGTTTTTGTAATATTCTGTTTAGTTCACAGATAAAATGGAACCATGGTCTAGATTGATCGAGAAACAGGAGATCAAGTGGTCTCTGACAGTAACATCATATACCATCACAAGCACTACATCTAAGAAGATCAGACACAACAGCGGTTCTCAAACTATGGGTCGTGACCCTTTTGTGGTCCGAACGACCATTTCACAGGGGTCGCCAAAGACCATTAGAAAACATATATTCACTGAAGCAATGACAATAATTGTTTGGGGGGGGGGGGTCACAACATGAAGAACTGTATTAATGGGTTGCTGCGTTAGGAAGGTTGAGAACTACTCAGATACAAGACCAAAAGGATGGTCATTAAAAATATGGACTGACAATATTCAAGACAGTTCACTACACCTTCATAGCAAGAGTACAGCCAGTGCCTGCCAACGTGAACTCTGTTGCAAATTATTCTTCCTCACTACACTTAACGGCAGAGTGGTTAATGATGATGAACAAAGGCTCATCTATATCAGATTAACAGTTGAGATGCCTTAGGAAACTTAACCAACTGTGACTGAGTGAGAAATGATACTATTAGACAAACTGTATGAGTAACACCTTGCTGCAAATTTACTGAGAAAAAGAACATCCAAATGTTTGGTTATCGTTTTAGAATAAAGCCTTGACAACTGCCCTACATCTAAAATTACCTAACATGAAAACATGAGGGTGACCAAGAAGACAATGGACTGGTGACATTAAAGACACTGTGCATCAAAACATGATAACAGCCAGTGCTGCCCATGGGGAACTGGACCTCAAATGCATTCCCATAAGCTTAATGGCAAAAGTGGGAGCTGTTGATGAAGTTCTTTATCTCAGTGTTTATTAGCTGCAAACTCCTATGAAAAGTTCTGGTTGTTTGATTATGGCCTTGATGCAGAAGTTGACTTTTGTGTGCACATATCTGGCTTATTTGTATGCAGACTTTTGGTTCCTTGGCTCTTAGGCAGACGCACTTCGACTGAAGGAAACATCCCTAATTAGTCCCCTTCTATGACATTCTGTTTGGGGAGCAGTGGTTCTATTCATTGTTCTCCCAAACGGAGCCCTGGAACCCACATGGGGGAAAAGATGATGATTAACCAGTTTTACCTTTTTGCTTAGAGACAGTCATAGCCTCTGATTCCACAGATGAGGAATGTGCAGAGGATGAAGATTCTTGAGCTTCGGCAAACGATATTGTTGATGTTCCAGACATGAAAAGGGTGCCTGTCGACAGCCGTGTTCGAATTCCCTTACTGTTCTTGGAACCATCTGTGAGGAGAAAATATTGGACATTAAAAATAAAACGTGCTACTATCTACGAAAACCTATGCTACATATACATATATATGTATATACTTTGCTGCCTCTCAAGTGCTCTTGCTGTTAAGTACTTCATTCTATTCAAAATATCAAGTTTATAGCCCTTTCTTCTACTTCTTAGCATTCACCAGCTGTATATCCCCAAGTGGGTTCCGGGGCCCTCTTGTGGGAAAGACAAGAACAGACCCACTGCCTCCCCAACAAGCATGTCCTAAGAGTCAACTTACTGGGAGCTTGCTTCAGAGTCAGAAGTGCATCTACCTGAAAGGCAAGGAACCAATCTGCATACAAATAAGTCAGATATGTAAAACAGATGCACACGCAACACTCAGGTTCTGGAACAAGACTGCAGTCCAAAAGTGGATGAACAACCAAAACTTTCCACCAGAGTTTACAGCTGGTGAACGCGAAGAAGAAGAAGAAGGAACAAGACTAACATGCAAAGGTGGAACAAACAACCAGAACTTTCCGCCTGGAGTTCACAAAGTCCTGGTTCGTCCAGTTCTGGGTTAAGTCTTGATCCAGAACCCGAGTGAAGCATGCACATCCGTTTTACAGATCTGACTTATTTGTATGCAGACTGCCTGTTCCTTGCCTCTAAGGCACAATAACTGTGACTATGAAGGAAACACACCTAATTAGCTGCCCTCACTGTCATACTCATTTGGATGGGGATGGTGGAAGGTGTGTCTTTGTTCTCCAAAATGGAACTCAACTCTGGAACCCACACAGGGAAATCTTTCTACAACTTACTTGCCATTTTCATTATCAATAACTGCCTTGCCTACTGGCGTGGGTGTTCATACCTCTCCACAATCTACGATCTCCAACAGCATTCATCAGTTGACACCCCTTCATGCCATGACAAAAGGCTGTCAAGAATCTTCACATGCTGTCAATCTTTCTCTCTCTCTCTCTTTGAACAAATCTTTCGGCTCTACTGTCAAATTTGGCCGGTAAGCTGGACTGCTTCGGCCGGCTTAGCGGGGCTTAGTGGGAGTTATGTCCCTTCGCCAAACTCAAAAAAAGTCGCGGAAAAAGTCACGAATCAAATGACATACTTACCTATCATCATCCGGGTGCGTGTAGGGCTGCGTCTAGGGTTACCTATCATCATATGGTTGCGCGTAGGGCTGCGTAGGGTGTCTATCATCATCACACGGTTGTGTGTAGGGATGCCTAGGGTGTCTATCATCATCATCATCATACGATTGCGTAAGGTTTGGGTTAGCGGTAGGGTTACGGGGAGGGTTAGGGGTAGGGGTAGGGTTAGGGTTAGATGTGACAATTTTCACGTAGGAGGTCTAAATACTGACCGACAATTTGATGCTTGTGGGAGTGGCGCCACTGGAAGTGTGCCAAATATGACGGCAATAGCGCGCGGCGGCTGGTGCCCCAATCGGTGGCGAATTGTCCGTGTCAGTAGCATTCACCGTCCGTCGACTGTTTGCGCGTGCATGCGACTGTGCGCGATTGTAGGGAACTACGGCGTCACAATTGTCACATCTAATGCTACACCTGACCCTAAACCCTAACCCCTAAACGCTAACCCTAACCCTCATCTTACGCAAACAACCAACCTACACGCAATAAGCAGCCCTACACGCAACCGTAGGACGATGATAGACACCGTACGCAACCCTACACGCACCCGGATGATGATAGGTAAGTATGCCGTTTGATTCGTGACTTTTTCCGCGACTTGTTTTGAGTTTGGCCAAGGGACATAACTCCCACTAAGCCCCGCTAAGCTGGCCGAAGCAGTCTAGCTTACCGGCCAAATTTGACAGTAGAGCCAATCTTTCTAATGGCACATCATGCTTCAGTTTCCATCTTCTCATATCATGAGCAAAAATAATTACTGCCTCCACTGTTGTCTAAATTTCCACCATGCCATTTACAGCTTATTTAAGTTCCAGTATTGGTTTGAAAGCATGCTCCATTAGGAAAAAGAAATATTGGAACATGAACAGAATTAAAACATGGTTCAGAGAATTTTCAAAAGTGGATGACAAAAACCATTAAACTTACCTTTAGGACTTAGAGTCTTTATTGATGAATCTGATTTTCTCTTCATGTTGATTTCTTCCTGACACAAACAAAAAAACTTAGTAATTTATAAAAAATATGAGTCAATTCACTGTCTGTGGTAAAATAATAGAGCCTTTTCATGCCGATGGAGTACAAAGCATATGAATGCAGTTGTAGTTCATCCCCTCCAGGATGTCAGACCACAGGAATAACATCATGAGGATGAGAATCCTAGGTACTAATTGTACGGCAATAACTGTTCAAGTACCGTCCTAGGTCAATGCGATACCACGTAACTTGTTACTCTAGGGGGTAACAAATGCCACCCGCAATGACAGGCAGAAAATGGCACCAACAAAGTCAACTGTTAAAACTTCTACATTCGAGAACACGTAGTTAACAGGCAACATCAATACGACCAATACGTTTATTTATTAATTCTCCACATATATAATGTGTGTCCATGAAATGAATATGTTACGATCACTGTACTTAACGATGGCAGGATAATTCCTGTCCTCCCTCATGCAGCTTAGAGCTTTTGATCTCCCGCGAACTGCGGTATCAGGAACATATTAAGACAAGCCTCTGCCATTCATACATTTCTTGTAACTGTCTTCTGTCTAATTTTTCTGTCGACAAGTGACATCGTGTCTCTCATCATATCTCGTGTTCTTTAGCGGTCGGCCCTAGTGTGAGTTGTCGATAGCACACAAAACTAATCATGGAATTCACCCTATCTCGCTCGGGTGCGAGATTTTGTGGTTGTTCCCACGCAGCTGTCCTATGTTCTAGGAGTGCTATGAGATGCCTTCCTTCCCTGTTTATATACACCATGGCGAAAACTGGCTCGCGTTCGTCGACACGGTTAACACACAGTCTCACTTCCCCAGATAAAACTACACAGCTTTGTTGTCGCAACCATCTGTTCTGTGAACAACTGTAGTTTCTCGAATGTGTTGTGAGTAGCTAAAGAAACAGGTACTGCAGGGGGAAGCATCAAAGGTATGAGTATCACATCACTGATGTTTTTGTACTTCTTTGCTCAGTCAGTCGTCAGTGGTCGATGCGCTTAAACGTTCAAAACAAAAAATACCTGACATCCCTAGAACACAGGACAGCGAATGGAAATGAATAGAAAAATCACGCAGCTGAACCAGATGGGGTGAATTCCGTGATTAGTACAGAATGTACAAAATTCCGATAAGCCCCATTCGACAGTATGGTTATAATGGGGTCCCGGGCGGTTATGAAGTAATCTGAAATCCAGACATGGCTTATGTTCCTAGCTGTAAAATCAACTGGTTTATATTATTAAACCTCTGATCCGAGTCCATAATATAATCCAAAAGAAATGTTAACGTTTTCCTTTTGTGAATTTAAATAATGAAGACTAAAATTATATAAATAATAATATATTGCTTGTCATATTTATTCTGTGTCAAGCTGTGTGCATAAAACTGAATTAAGCTGACGGATAATGAAGGACAAAAAATTGAATCCTTTCAAGTCAAATACACAAATCATTACTATACTATATATCTCACTACAATGGTCTATATACAGACTACATGATTCAGCATCACAAACCAGACATCTTAGCCTATGAACATGAAATAATTACATGAAACATAATACAAGTATTCCCTGGAAATACAACGGGCACTTTCAGGGCCCCATTCTGGGGCAAAATAGAACAGACTACTGCACTGCCCCCTTAACAAGCATGTCATAGGAGGCAAATAATTAGAGATGTTTAATTCAAAGTCACAGAGAATCTGCCTGAGAGGCGAGGAATTAAAAGTTGGCATAAATAAGCTGAATATGTAAAATTGAGGTGTACTCAAAACTGAAGTCCAGAAGTGAATAAATGGGACAATTAGAACTTTCTGCTGGAGTTTACAGCCAGTTAACACTTAGAAAGAGAATGTGGACACTATTCTGAATTAGAACATCAAGGTTGAAATGGATATTACTTCATGAGAACTATTATGAAAAATATCAATCTAAACGAGAAGTAAAACATGAATTAAAACTGCTACTATACATTACTATGTATGAATAAAGGTTAGCTTACAAACACACTATACAATACTGAATACTGGAATAATCAGCGATTTTAACTTAACATATCCGCATATCAGGTTACATCCACAAGACATTTTATTTATTCGCTAGGGGCGTCATGTGTCTTTCGCTGCTGTTTGCGTAAAATGAAAACGGTGTGCCTAATTAAATACCTCCTGCATACTTTCTTTGGATGTAATATTAATAACAATTCACATATCATCCACTGTAGATGGTGTGCTTCCATCTGGCATGCAACATGCCATGCTTCCATCTGCATCTATGAAGATAACACAATTGTCTTGTACATTTTTAATCACTGTGATTTATTGTGTTTTATACTTAAGTGCTTTATTATGTTAACTATGTACACAATATACTAAATTAGTATATAATGCAGCCATGTTGTTCTTGTAACTCTCCAACTTGACTGTCAGGTTATATCAAATGTGGTAGGACCTGTTTTGTTAGTTAGACCACACCATTTCTTGTTAATATATAGGTCCCATCAAGAATCTGCTTGTCTCTCACACCTGTAAAATAACTTAAAACGCTTGGTTTTTAATCAAACATGTTGATAAAAGCATACCTAGTTAAACGTGGAGTAGAATTCACAATGTCGATAAAAAATCTTTAAGATTCTTCCGTCTCTGGGTTCATGCAGTTTTTCGCTGGGCAGGTCGCGCCGTCTGCTCACCGCACGGCGCACAACGTTAAACACGCCCCCTGTCACATTTCAGCCAATCAAGTTGAGGTTTCTCGGGGGTCACGACCTTTACCTTAAAGGCCACTTAGTGATTAAACAATTCAACATTAAAATTACAAACTGCTTTTGTTTCCGGTTAAAATAAAGAAGCGAAATTGAATAATTTTTAGCCAAAGTTTATTTTATAATGTGAATAAAAGAGTCTTGTCTTGTCTTGTCTTGTCCACAATTGCCTCACAGCGTAGTGGGGAGTCGCAGTTTTCTATCCTGGGCCAGGTGTGTTGCACGTGTTGTTGTTAGTCCGTGTTGAATCAGGATCTCTGATATATTGTCTATCCATCGTACTCTCGGTCTGCCTCTTGCTCTAGGGCAGTAGTGCTGTTCGTTGCAAGAAATAAAACAAGAGACAATTTAAATATTTCGGCCACATTTGAAGATGTTCATCATCAATTTTCAACTTCTGCCGTTAAAGCGTTGTGGGGAGGAACCGTTTGCGATCCATCGCTTGATGGGTAGCAATGGTTATTCAAATTGTCCTTCTGTGTCGATTTAGAAGCTCTTTAATGTCATCAATCCATGTTCTCCTAGGGAGGCCTCTTGCTTTCACTTCATACCCTTTCGTGTGTAGTGCCTGCAGTGGCTGTTGTTCTGGCTGCATTCTTGCTAAATAACCAAACTATTTGATCTTCGGTTTATAAAGGAATTTGCTGCATCAGTTTATCTGATAATATCATTTCTAACTTTGTCTCAGATGGTTAAGTTTGTGGATTTTCGCAGGCACCTCATTTCACAGGTGTTAATTTTACGTAGGTTAGCCTTTGATAATGTACAAGAGTGGCACTCGTAGCACACATTAAAAAATAGCACACTTTTAATCATTTTAAAAACCATACTGGGGCGGGGGTGTAGAAGGCAAGAGATAGACATCGATACGAGTGAGAGGACAACATCAAGAGATGAACGAACAACAGTCTGAGAGAGGGTACAATCAAGACAAGAGACACAGAGTGTTGGAAATCCATTGCAGCCAACTTTCGTTGTTTAACTGACAAAGTAAATATTGTTTTCTTTGTGGGTGTTGACTAACTGGGGGTATCCTTCGAAGTAGGAGTGCATCTACCTGAGATGCAAGTAACCAATAGTCTGTATTACAAATAAGTCAGATATGTAAAACGGATGTGCATTCGGATTCTGTAACAAGACCGAATCCTATAAATTTTGCAACATTCAAAACTTTCCGCCGGAGTTTACAGCTGAAGGCTAAGAAGAGAATTGTCTTGCATAATGCTGATTTGTGCTAAAATAAGATTCCGTTTAAAAATAAGCAGATGCTTTCTTATTTACATATTCTTCTGCATTTTGTCCTCAAATGCAGAGTAGGAATTTATGAGGTTTTGAACAACGGATCAACATCATGGCACACGGGTGTAATAGTATCAGTTGTTAAATATCTAGGTATAGGCTAAGCCAAACAGCTCTCTGCCAGTGTCTTCGTGTTGAACAGACTCCAGAACATGTCCTGCAAGACTGTCCTCTCCTGACGGAGCTGCGGAGCTACATATGGCAACACCCAGTAGAACTGACAACTAAGCTTTGGGGAAACCTAAGAGACCTTGAAAAGACATCCCAGTTTATGGCCTACAGTGGATTATGCGCATGACCAGAGATCGCTGAAGAAGAAGAAATATCTTCCAGAACCTCTACTCATCTCCCGTAAACTTAGTCTTTCAATGTATGGATTCTATGTCTATTCATTTGATCCCAGAAATCTGTCACAGCGTTTACTCTATCATAAAGTAGCTCACCGCCCATAGGCGCAGCAGGCGCGAAACCAGTCTTTCAGCCTACTAATTATCATGCACATTCGAATATCCTAGACAGAAAATCCATGATATACTCCTGATCTGAGTAGTAGTCCCCCCCCCCCCCCCCCCTCAAAAGTTCCTCAATAGTGATTCTATCACACTATTTCACTGCCTCTATTCTGCGCAGTTAATAGATGATTGTTGTTTATTAGTAATCATGTGAGCTTTTCTGCATGGTGGCCGTTTTAACGCATGGGCCCATTGGGCACTTGCTCGGGGGTCCCACTATCATGAGGTCCCCATGTTAATCTGTGTTTGTCAAGTGACTTGCCATAAATTTCTGTCACACATAGAAAGCCGTTTTCCTAACTTTTACGGGTTTTGATTGACATGAAGTCTTTGGGCATTGCCCAGTACATCTATACAACAGCTGTGGTACTGGCTGCATCTGCAGTGTGTGCAGACATAATGAGTTTAGAATACATATGGATTCACCGTGACGTCATATAATTTCATTATCACGTTACATTGCTCTATGTGACAAAGAGACCAAAACTTACTTTTCAGTGGTCACAGAGAAAGAAATCGGCTAATTCTTTGCTCCAATCATGGTTGATTTTACGAAGTCCGACACAAACAGTGCGTAATTCGGCTTTCATTTATGCTTTCTCACATGTGACGCGGGGTAGTCTATGTCAGAGGGGTGTCACGTCGTCTGCTTTCAATTAGGCCTACTATCAGCGGCGATGTCGCGACTTCTATACTACATGACAACACCGCTTTTAACGACCAAACAGAAAATCTAGAACTGACCCACAGCCTTAGCCTAGGTCCCACGAAAGAGTCCACAGTACGTCCCATGGTTTCAGAAGTGTTAACATTTACCGCTGCGCCCTACAAACCCGTCTTGTTGCAGACACACAGGGCCGTACTTTTTGGCGCTCGTGAACTAAATCCATCTCGTACCCGAACTCTGTAATATACGCAATGTCGCCTCCCGCTGGCAATAACAGTACCTCGCCGGCCACACGACGCACAAAATAGAAAACTTCGCCAAAATAAGACGACACCCCTCAAACATAGATTAGCCTGTGCCACATGTGAGAAAGTGTGAATGAAAACCGAAGTACGCACTGTTTGGGCCGGATTTATAAATACAACCCGAGTTCTTTTTTAGCGATTACTTTCCTTCACGTACAACTAACCCTATTCATAAACATTTAGTGACGACTTCAGCATTCCGAGCCCTTGAGGTTCATTGCTGCAGATATCACCCGCCCCCACTCATCTCTCTGATTGGCCTTCTCTTTCCAGATAGTTACACCAAGTGTTTACCACTCCATGGTCTTCTTGGTCTGCCTCGCGGTCTATGATAATTCATCTCTTTTGTGTATACAGTTTTTACTTCTCTGTCATCTGACATTCTCTCAATACACCCGAGCCATTTTAACCTATTATTTAGTGACTGCAACAGTTTACAATGAACTGAGTGACAAGCCGTCTTCAAAGAAGCAAATAACTTTACATCTACGTGACTTCGTGGTGATGCAGAACTTCGACCTGATTTATTTTTTTAAAATTGAGATTTACCACTCCAGATTTCTTTTGCTTTTTCTAGTTTTTGAAGGTAGTTTCACAGAGTGCGCTTTTTTTTTTTAAAGCGAAATGTGGAAAACAAATGTAATGTTAAAGATGTTTATGGGTCGAAAAGGTTAAATAAAGTAAAATATTCCGAGGATAAACATTTAGGAGGTCGCCCGACCAGTTAAAAAAAAAAAATCGGGTCTTTTCTGCGAGCGTGATGGTAGTGACGTTCTTAGAACTGTTCTGCAATGGGTCTGCTACATGATGATGATGGTTAGCTAGCCGGCACATTGAAATCAAAGAAGAGTGTACATCATGCAGTTGAATATTTGAACCCCTCAACACATTTTCTCAGGATAGTTTTAGACATCCTGACGTATAATATCTTTAAAGAAAACAAATATTTTTACAGAAAAATAATATACGCACAGTTTAAAAATATTGGCCATACATGAGAAATTATAATTTGTCTTTGAGTACTCCACACTGTAAAGTGTGGTCAGCTGAATTGATTCTGCAGTTGTCCACATCAGCGTGAAAGGAGTTGCCCAGCACGGAGAGAAATATTTCAAATAACTGAAATAAATACATGCAGGATGGCACCCAGACGATCCAAAAGTTCTAAAAATCCTCCCATTTTCAGCAGTGAATTTCTAATACAGAACCATGCTGATATCGTCTCATGCATTGCAATGGTTTTTATTATCGGTTTGATGTTTCAGGTAACGCTAATAAATAATCTTCTAGCAGAAAGTTTCACTTTCTCGTCTGTCGGCACCTTATGAGTCACCTAGCTTCAGATTTGATGTTCTTAGCTTCTTAAGCTAGCTGTATATGATATTCTGGTATTATAGTGTTTCTCTTGCGATATTTTTATTTTTTAAACTGCTTTGAGCATTAATTGATGCCTAATCCGTTATCTAGTTATGTATTTTGAAGAAACGCTAGTCGACAAGAAACAGTTAATGAGATGTATGTTTATGATCTTTTGTCGTCTGCTAGTGGCAGTGCTGCTATCTCTTGCGCCCCCCTCCCACCACAAAAAAAAATATGGGGCTCCAGAACCCACACAGGGATGCATGCTTACTGTTGTAGATGGACAACGTTCATGAAAATGATAGGTTCCTTGGGGGTGCTTTTTAGGGAATGTACAGGAAGATAAATTACATACTTTAACTCTTTGAGTCCCAGGGTGTTTGTCATCAGAGGCCCAAGGGATAGTCAAGATAGATGTAAAATCATCGCATCTTGCGTTCATTGGGCCTCTAGGCGGACCTATGAACGTATGGTGCATTCCTTTGAACTCAAAGAGTTAAGGGGAAAAGAATGGGCCATACAGTTTTACGGTGATGACTACCATTTACTTGACTGGAATGGGCAGGTCATAACAAACTTAACAAGCATATGCACAGGCCTCTTCTGAGAAGTTCACCACTGTGCCCACGTGAACTATGCAAACAAACCGCAGATCATGTCCTGCAGGACAGTTCCTTGTCCAGCCTTTTTCGATGGGAACTCCCCGTGTGTGCTCCAGGTTCGATCCCAGCTGCAGGTGATTTGACAGCCGACAGCCTTGTGTTGGTTTTGACAGCGGTAATAAGAGCTGACCGTTCAGTAAGAAATGGCAAACTACTGAACATAAAATTGCCTAGCAAAGTAAAGTTAGAAAAATAGCCAGAAAATTCTGTGGCTGGTTCTGCAAAATCAAATAAAAAAAAAAAATTAAAAGTACAAAATGGGTCATGAGCCTGAGGATTTAAGGTCACATTGCTAATGCACTCACCACATACCAGTTGGGATATTTTCTTTTTTGACTCCAGACAGAAACAAGTCTTCATCAGTTACCGAGGATCAAACTGGGGTCTTCTGTATAAGAGCCCAGTGCTTTACCCACTCAGCCAGTCGCTACTTTCAGGAAATATGCTTGTTAACTGCAATGTGTCATACGCCTTTAACCTTCCAAACATTTCTGTTTCAGGCAACATCGCCGGTGGCAAGCTTGTTTATTACCATGCAGCACAACCTGACAATCAATGGTAAATGTCTGTCTGTGCAAATTTATCATCTTCTGCTTCTTCTTCTTCACGTTCACTGGCTGTAAACTCTGTCGTAAATTTCTGGTTGTTAGCCTACTTCTGGACTCTAGTCCTGTCCCAGAAACTTGAGTGTTGCTCGCACATCCATTCTACAAGTCTAACTTATTTGCATGCAGACTGTTAGTTCCTTGCCTCTCAGGCAGATGTACTCCAACTTCAAAGAAAGCTCCCAGTTAGTCGACTCTTACAACATGCTTTTGGGCAGGTAGTGGGTCTATTCTTGTTTTCCTCCCACAGTGGGGCCCCGGAACCCACATGGGGAACATTTATTATGTTCCTTCTGCCCCCTTTTTTTTCAAATTTGTGCCATAGTGGGAGCTGGGGATATCAATGGACAGACTGAGTGACTAACAAGGACATGGCTGATAAAGTGAGAAAACTAGATACAACTCTGAGAAAGCGGCAGTTTCTGTTCTTTGGTCTTGTGATGAGAAGAGAGGCACTGGAGAACATTGTGATGACCGGAAGCATCAGCAGTAGAAGAAGCAGAGGCAGACCAAGAGAGATGATGCTTGATGGCCTAAAGTGAGGGCATGCTGGAAGATCATCAGTATAATTGATTCAAAATATGTAGGACCAAGATCTGTGGAGCAACATGAGAGTCTATGCCGCTGGGCAGGGCACATGCTGGTGATGACCGTAAAGGGTAAAGAGGCCTCATAATGTTTATGTTTCTTATTTTGGCAGAGTTGCACACTTGTCTTGGTTTCATTGAACCAGGTGGAAGGCAGGAGTGCATCACAGCCTGCATTGGTGCACTAGGACTTAAAACTGGTCAAGAACTGTCTACAACTCTTTATTGTCTGGCTGGACATGGCTTCTCTACCAGGGGCCTGGCCAGCATAGATGGGATGAAAACTCAGGTGGAAAGTTCTGGGTGTGCATATACTTCTGGATTTTACTCTTGTTCCAAAACCTGAGTTTTGCATGCACATCCATTTGACAGATCTGGCTTGTGTTTATGCAGACTGTTGGTTCCCTGTCTGTCAGGCAGATGTACTCTCACTGTGAAGGAAACCTCCTTAACTAGTCGACTCTTACAACAGGCTTGTTAGAGGGCACATCAGATCCTGTATGTGATAAAATAGAAGCAACTGCCGTTTGTTTACAGCCTAAACAACAGCTCTTTCTAATCTGAAATGAAAGGATAGAGAAAAGTAGAAAGAAGGTGAAGCTGAAGGTAAAATGCCTTTGTACTAGTAGTATTTAGAGGGGAAATATTTTACAAAGACTTACACTATTTTTTGCTGTCTTTGTAGTGTGGAAATGTTGTAGTTAATGAATACGTAACCCGCTGCAATCAGCCTATGAGACTAGAAAATGTGCTGGGGACAGGTAACCTTATAAAAGTAAGTTAAAGGTCCCTTTTCCAGGCCTTTAGGCATAAAGGGCATATAGGGCTAGACCTATATTTTTATAGACCAATCGGCACAAGATGGGTGATGTGGTCAGCATCACGCTAGCTGCCTTTACTTCCCGGGACGGCACCCGGTACCCACTCAAGGCTGGGTCAACTTGGGAGTCAAGGTCATTTTTGAAAAAAAAGTCTGGCTCCGCCAGGGAGCAAACCCAGGACCTTCTGATCCGCATGCGAGCGTCTAATCTCTACGCCTAGGTGACTCCCAGTAGCCTTATAGGAAAGGATTTGTGTAGAAAGAGAATTGTATTGTTTCAGATTCCGACAGTGTGCAGCACACAGTCTACTCAACAGGAAGCAAGGATCTGTTTGCTGTCTCCTTCTATTTTCTCATTTGCATTGTCATCCATGCTGTTATTCAGGAGTATGTACTGGATGTAAGTGCAGTGAAAATATCAATAATTCTTGATTTGTTCTTTTATTGTCTAAAGCAGACATGCTCATTTTAGAATGGATGTAAGTGCAGTGAAAATATCAATAATTCTTGATTTGTTCTTTTATTGTCTAAAGCAGACATGCTCATTTTAGAATGGATGTAAGTGCAGTGAAAATATCAATAATTCTTGATTTGTTTCTTTTATTGTCTAAAGAAGACATGCTAATTTTAGAATGGATGTAAGTGCAGTGAAAATATCAATAATTCTTGATTTGTTCTTTTATTGTCTAAAGCAGACATGCTCATTTTAGAATGGATGTAAGTGCAGTGAAAATATCAATAATTCTTGATTTGTTCTTTTATTGTCTAAAGCAGACATGCTCATTTTAGAATGGATGTAAGTGCAGTGAAAATATCAATAATTCTTGATTTGTTTCTTTTATTGTCTAAAGAAGACATGCTCATTTTAGAATGGATGTAAGTGCAGTGAAAATATCAATAATTCTTGATTTGTTTCTTTTATTGTCTAAAGCAGACATGCTCATTTTAGAATGGATGTAAGTGCAGTGAAAATATCAATAATTCTTGATTTGTTCTTTTATTGTCTAAAGCAGACATGCTCATTTTAGAATGGATGTAAGTGCAGTGAAAATATCAATAATTCTTGATTTGTTTCTTTTATTGTCTAAAGAAGACATGCTCATTTTAGAATGGATGTAAGTGCAGTGAAAATATCAATAATTCTTGATTTGTTTCTTTTATTGTCTAAAGAAGACATGCTCATTTTAGAAGATACTTCCGGCTTAGAAGTTACCAGGTTTAAATTCTGGAGTTAGTGAGGGATATTCAACCCCACCAAGACTGCACAACGAGCAACAAACACCTGGTGATGCAAAGTGCCACCTTTTGGATGAGAATCACCTGAAACCCTGTTAAACGGTTAGGTTATATTTAGGGCCCCTGACAACAGCCAGGGTGGGGCTTTAAAATAACAAATAAAAATGCCTCCTATATTGGGGTGAAGTTTTTAAAACAAATATTCTAGAATAGAACTGGACATTTTTTGGGGGAGGGGGGTGGGTGGACACCGCGGTGTAGCGGCTAGACACTCACCTGTAAATATGAAGGTCATGGGTTCAAGTCCTGTCAGGCCGGGCTTTAAAAAAAAAAAATGACCTTGACTCCCAGGTCGACCCAGCCTTGAGGAAGTACCAAGTACAGTCCTAGGAAGTCATAGCAGCCTGTATGATGTTGACCATATAGCCCACCGAGTGACTTAGATAGCCTATAAAATGTAAACCTAGCCCTATGTGCCCAGTAGCCTGAAGGCATAGAAAAGGGTGCTTTACTTTTTATTTTAATAAGAACTGTTAATTTAGAATATTCTACCTATGTTCCATTGATACAGTCAGTAAAGATAGTTTTTGTATCTTCTTGCAGAAACTCAATCGTAAAATGCACCTATCAAAGATTAAACACAGCAAGTTCAACGAGTCTGGTCAGCTGCTGATTTTCTACCTGGTGTCTGCTATTTGGGGAGCTGATATTTTGTTCAGGGTAAGAACAACTGTCGTTCATGCTGTCTTCTCTGTCTTCTTAGGGTTCCTCTGAAAGTCCTGATTGTTTGTTTGCTTTTTGGCCTTGGTCTTCTTCCAGGATTTGAGTTTTTCTCCTGCACATCTGTTTTACTGATTTGGCTTATTTGTATGCAGACCATTGGTTCCTTGCCTCTAAGGCAGATATTCTCTGACTTCAAAGGAAACATCTATGTTGGCCAGACCCTTGGTTGCGAATCTGTTTCCGGGATGACCAGGTCTCTTTTCCACTCCTTGAGGGATATTGGGAATATAGGGCTAGCACTCCGACTTCAAAGGAAGCTCCCCAATTAGTCGACTCTTACGACATGCTTTTGGGTAGGCAGAGGGTCTATTCTTGTTTTCCCCACGATGGGGCCCCGGAACCCACACGGGGAATCGTTATAATACCAATAGGTTGTCCTAATGGTGACCTATCCATTGCCAGTGTCGTTACTCTTTTTTTTTTTTTTAATAACCAAAAAAATTTCATTAGTTCCGTCCCAAAGTCACACATTAGCGATTTTGATGTACCATTTAAATTTTGTCTCCTGTCAGTAGCAAATGTCTGCTGTCACTACTGTCAGTATCTTCCACATTTTTAGGGTAGTATAACTGGGGGTGGGGGTGGTGATGGTCATGAGCCTGAGGATCCTAGTACTGTCGCCATGGACAGTGCAGGTTAGAGTGTTTAATTTTGCTCCCCTGCCACTCCCACATCAGAAAAACTTGATCACCTTAGCAGGGGTCAAACTCGGATCTCACGCATAAAAGGCCCCTCGTTGTAAACTGCTTGGCCAGCCCCTTCTCACTAGCAGCAGTTAATAAATATTTGTAGATTATTAGTAATTAGGGTCCTGCTTGGCCAGCCCCTTCTCACTAGCAGCAGTTAATAAATATTTGTAGATTATTAGTAATTAGGGTCCTGCTTGGCCAACCCCTTCTCACTGGCAGCAGGTTAATAAATATTTGTAGATTATTAGTAATTAGGATCCTGCTTGGCCAACCCCTTCTCACTGGCAGCAGGTTAATAAATATTTGTAGATTATTAGTAATTAGGGTCCTGCTTGGCCAACCCCTTCTCACTGGCAGCAGGTTAATAAATATTTGTAGATTATTAGTAATTAGGGTCCTGCTTGGCCAACCCCTTCTCACTAGCAGCAGTTAATAAATATTTGTAGATTATTAGTAATTAGGGTCCTGCTTGGCCAGCCCCTTCTCACTGGCAGCAGGTTAATAAATATTTGTAGATTATTAGTAATTAGGGTCCTTCTCCGTGTTTCTGATCTGTACATTTGGTCTTAGAGTTAAATATTGAAAGTTTGGTACTCAGTTAACTTTTTTTGACTTCGACAACATTCCTAGCCCTATAACTATCAGCCCCTCCTCCCCCTTTTTCCCCATCTTTATCTAAATTGTTACCAATTTATTTGTGTGTTCATCTTTTAAGTGAGATTTCACAGAGAAGGATTAATTTATTTTTTATTATCTTTTTTTTCTGTGAATTTTTAGGCTGCTACTTCAGTCGCCTTTAGTGGCCATTAATGTCATGCATATTTAGTTTTATTATTCCTTGATTTCCCTAAGAGCTCTGGTAACCCAACGATACATAAACTGTATGCTCTATATTAAATGTTTTCTATCCTCCCCAAAAAAAGTTCCTAAATTATCGAGGTAGAAAATGTAAACTAACAGGGCCTCAGTCACATGTAAATTGCGGACTTGCAGTGACTGCGCGGCGTGGAGGGGAACTAAACTAGATGGCTGGGACTCACAAGCAGCAGCTACCGCATCTCCTGCAGCTTCCTTTATTTTATTTTCTCGTGAGTCCCAGCCATCTAGTTTAGCCCCGCTCCACGCCGTGCGTAGTAACGTGAGAGATGCTTTCGGCGGTGGCGGTAGTTGCAGAAAGTCCGCAATTTACATGTGACTGAGGCCCTGTTAGGGTATATTTTCGGCCTCGATAATTTGGGACCATTATTCGGAGGATAGCCTTAATGTTTTTTATAATTTTCATATACTTTTTATAGCTATATTTGTGAATATGCTTTATTTAAATTCATCATCTGCAACTGCTTGGACCAGTTCATATGTTGACACCCCTTCTGGCCATGACAGAAAGCTATCCAAAATGTTCTCACATTGTCTTCCGCTGTCTCTCTATCCACAGATATCTCCGATGGACACAACGTGTTCCAATTTGTCCTGGTGACTGTCTCTCTATCCACAGATATCTCCGATGGACACAACGTGTTCTAATTTGTCCTGGTGACTGTCTCTCTATCCACAGATATCTCCGATGGACACAACGTGTTCCAATTTGTCCTGGTGACTGTCTCTCTATCCACAGATATCTCCGATGGACACAACGTGTTCCAATTTGTCCTGGTGACTGTCTCTCTATCCACAGATATCTCCGATGGACACAACGTGTTCCAATTTGTCCTGGTGACTGTCTCTCTATCCACAGATATCTCCGATGGACACAACGTGTTCCAATTTGTCCTGGTGACTGTCTCTCTATCCACAGATATCTCCGATGGACACAACGTGTTCCAATTTGTCCTGGTGACTGTCTCTCTATCCACAGATATCTACGATGGACACAACGTGTTCCAATTTGTCCTGGTGACTGTCTCTCTATCCACAGATATCTCCGATGGACACAACGTGTTCCAATTTGTCCTGGTGACTGTCTCTCTATCCACAGATATCTCCGATGGACACAACGTGTTCCAATTTGTCCTGGTGACTGTCTCTCTATCCACAGATATCTCCGATGGACACAACGTGTTCCAATTTGTCCTGGTGACTGTCTCTTTCTGATGTTCGTGATAAGTGGTCTTGAGCCCTTGCCTTTTTCAAAACGTCTGGGTTGCTCTTTTTAGCTGTCCGAGGAATTATAAGGATTCTTCTGTAAAACCACATCTCTGATGCCTCAAGAAGTTGTTTGGCTTGTTTATTTTATAGTGATTGTTCAGGATTCACAGCCACATGGGAAAACTGACTCCAGGGCTGCCAAAATGATTTTTGAGAATTGTACCAGATTTTTTTTTTTAAGTTACCAAACACACTTGAAGGTACAACATTTAAAATTTTTAATTTAAAAACTGTTAAAACATCTAAAAAATGCAAGACACATGTGCACGCGCGCACGCACGCACATTTAACTTAGTACATTATATTTAGATCTTATAAAAAAATTGTTTGTAATTGTTTTGGCAATGATCTTAGTTAAAGAATCCTTGCTGTTTGTTTCAGGAGAGCTATGTAACAAGCATCAATCAACTGTGGGATGGATATCCTCATTCAAACTTACCGTAAGAATTTTACAATAAATTGTGTGTAACTAATGCTATTTACTTTTGGTTGTGTCAGTTTCCATGGCTTAGGTATTGCAAATGTGCTTTGTGATTCAGTTCAGTTTTAGCTGTGAGCAGTTTGGCAGCGGACCGCCTTGTGTTGATTCGACAAGGGTTTCGGGAGTCGTTTGTTCATAAAGCAATGGCAAACTACTGAATGTGAAATTGCCTAGTAAAACCAAAACAGCCAAGAAATGCTGAGGTTGTTGCTGCATTGTCTTATATAGGATATGCAGCTAACTTTACGGTGGTTGTGGTATTATGATTGGAAAGCCTTAGAAGGCTTCAGTTAACGTTTCAGTCTACCATGCTGGTGTTGAGGTCACCAGGGCCCAGTAAAAGACTTTAATCTAACCAAGTGTAGCTTATGTAAAGACTTTCCTCTTAATCTGGTCCAAAAACTAAGTAGCCATTACTTGAGTCTTCTATTTTCTTAGTGTTCACCAGTTTTAAACTCTGGTGGAAAGTTCTTGTCATTTTTGTACTAACGAGAGTCATCACATCTCATTCGCATGTCAGATTTCGTGCTGGCTCCTATTCCTCTTGTATCAGTTCCCACAGGCTGTTCTATTTTGTGGGGGTGTTACGACGTTGCTTGCTTGGCCATGTGTACACACTGTGTCGAAAAGCGGCTGCCACAGGTTTATTTTGACAACTGTTTTCTGTGAATGGTAGGTCTCAGGCACCGAAGGCGCCTGCGTATGAGGAAGAAGTACTGCAAGAGGAAGAGCAGAAGGTGTGACACTTTCGTGAGCATCGAATCATTATTGTTTTTGAATTATTCCGCTGGTTGGCGGTGGGTGTCATCGCTGGTGGATCTGCTTCAAACGGTTAAAATGAGGATCACGTGTCATGCGTAAACTATAGGAGTGTCCCGGGAAATCCCCTGTAAAAACATGCGGCCGAGGAGATGGGGTGACTTTCATAATTTCTACTGTCGTTTGTCCACATCTGGACTGCGGTCTTTTTCCAGATCTTGAGTTTCGCATACATATCTGCTTTACTGATCTGGCTTATTTTTTTGCAGACTGCTGGTTCCTCGCCTTTCAGGGAGATGCACTTTGAAGAAGATTACCCCTAATTAGTTTCCATTTACAACATGCTTGTTGGGGGCTGTGGGTCTATTTGTTTTCCCCCACAAAATGAGGCCCCGGTCTTGAGCAATCCTGGTTATATTCTTCCAAAGGAAAGCTGAGAGTTTGGTGGGAATGAAGCCAGATAGGGATTACTTTAAATCCGTACAACTTGAGATACCTGTTGACTCCCTAGTCGGAAACAATCAGGAGAACAGTGTGACAGTCACATGTTTTTATGTCCTCTTTCAGATTTACGGTGAAATTCTTCTTCATTGTGCAGATTGCTTATTGGTTCCACAATTATCCTGAACTTTACTTTCAGAAAGTAAGAAAGGTAGGTATCTTCTTCTTTTCTTTTTATTGTTAAACATTTGCAGAATTTATAGTTTTATTTATTTGACTCTTAAAATCATTTTCTTTTCTTCTCCATGAATTAGGCTCAGTTGTAAGTTATACTTTCATGATCCTGTTTGATAGTAAGAAGGAATTATTGTAGTGATTATTTGATAACATCTATTTCATATCTTTATTTTTTTTTTGTGGCAAAATTTTTTTTTTTTAAACCGTCAGTTCAGGCTGTTAATTTAGTATGATTTGGTGAATGTGGATTGGTGATAATTTAGAGAATTTGGGCATAGTGATAGTTTGGAGAATTGGGATTGATGATAATTGGGAGAATTTGGGTATAGTGATAACTTGGAGAATTGGAATTGATGATAATTTAGAGAATTTAGGGATATTAATAAGATAACGTGGCAAATTGGAATTGATGATAATTTAGGGATATTGATAGGATAACTTGGTGAATTGGAATTAATGATAATTTAGAGAATTTAGGGATATTGATAGGACAACTTGGAGAAGTGGAATTGATGATAGTTTAGAGAATTAAGGGATATTAATAGGATAGCTTGGAGAATTGGAATTGATGATAATTTAGAAAAGTTAGGGATATTGATAGGATAACTTGGAGAATTGGAAATGATGATAATTTAGAGAATTTAGGGATATTGATAGGATAATTTGGAGAATTGGAATTGATGATAGTTTAGAGAATTTAGGGATATTGATAGGATAACTTTGGAGAATTGAAATTTATGATAATTTAGAGAATTTGGGGATATTGGAATTGATGATAGTTTAGAGAATTTGGGGATTTTGATAGGATAACTTGGAGAATTGGAATTTTTGATAATTTAGAGAATTTGGGGATTTTGATAGGATAACTTGGAGAATTGGAATTTATGATAATTTAGAGAAATAGGGAACAGCAATAACTTTTACAGATCTGACTTATTTGTGTGCAGATTGTTGTCGATTCCTCGCCTCTCAGGCAGATGCACCCCGACTAAAAGAAACACCCCGGTTAGTCAACTTTTACGACGTGCTTGTTGATGGAGCAGTGGGTCTATTCACACACACACATCCTCCCCCCCCTCCCCAATAGGTTTAGAGAACCCATACTGGAAATATAATGAATATTCTAGACAGCATCATCAGGTGTTTATTCATTCTTGATTTATTTTATTCATTCTTGATTTATTTTATTCATTCTTGATTTATTTTATTCATTCTTGATTTATTTGATTCATTCTTGATTTATTTTATTCATTCTTGATTTATTTTATTCATTCTTGATTTATTTTATTCATTCTTGATTTATTTTATTCATTCTTGATTTATTGGTTTACTCTACAGGAGGAGATAACAGGAAGGCTTCAGTACACAACCCTGTATCTTATTTTTGTGTGTGGTGCATACTTTCTCAAGTAAGTCATTTGTCCTGGTATTCCAGTTATTTGCGTACCCTTTACTGCAGACTTGTCAGACTAATGACCCCTGGGCTGTTTGCCACCCTTTGCAAGCACACCCTCGGCCCGCACAAACGAAATATTCTGCAATAATTTTTCCTTCACTGACTCCAGGTGGTCGTTTCTTGCTCTCACGACGACGACATTTGATCCATGTATGGCCCCCATGGGGCTCTCAGTTTGACATACCAGCTTATAGAACAATGCAGAAACAAACTCAGTTTGTAAGTCTGTTTTTATCGTAGTAAAAATGATCCTTTACCAACTTTATCTTCTTCTTCTTTTTAAAAAAACTTAATTTAATAATGACGCTGGAGTTCACAGTCATGGTAGAGCTGATGACACACACACACACACACGTCACCATGCATAGCCATTTTTCCTCGTAGATTCTATTGTAAGGTTACCCTCAGTCTGTCAGACAGTCACGTAGATGCTGCCTTCACACTGAAGGTTGGCAGCAGTAGATCACCAGCACTTGTCTCGGTTGTACACTTTCTCGGATTGCTGTTCCTCCATCTCGTGATATTGCCCTCCCACTTGTATTATTGTCTGCCTCTTGCTCTCCTACCTTTCAGCTTTTCCCTACAGTGTGGTTTAAAAAAAAAAAATCATATCTTTTAACGTGGCCAAAATATTTCAATTATCTCTCTTCTTATGTCTTTCACAACTCTTTTCATTTCTAGTCTTTTCAGAACTTCTGTAATTCTAGTGGTATACAATACACAGTACCGGTACTTTTTTAAAGGCTTAATTCATTTCATTACTCCTGTAAAAGACACTTTGAGGTGAGTACCAACGCCTTTTTAAAGACACTTTGAGGTGAGTACCAACGACTTTTTTAGACACTATTAGGTGAGTACCAACAACTTTTTTAGACACTTAGAGGTGAGTACCGACGACTTTTTTTAGACACTTTGAGGTAAGTACCAACAACTTTTTTTAGACACTTTGAGGTAAGTACCAACGACTTTTTTAAACACTTTGAGGTGAGTACCAACGACTTTTTTAAACACTTTGAGGTAAGTACCAACGACTTTTTTAGACACTTTGAGGTAAGTACCAACGACTTTTTTAGACACTTTGAGGTGAGTACCAACGACTTTTTTAGACACTTTGAGGTAAGTACCAACGACTTTTTTTAGACACTTTGAGGTAAGTACCAACGACTTTTTTAGACACTTTGAGGTAAGTAGCAACGACTTTTTTAGACACTTTGAGGTGAGTACCGGCACTGTTTTCCTGGAAAATCCCTGCGTTTGAGTGTACACAATGTTTGAGCTTTCTCATTTTTAGGTTACCCTAGTTATTTTATCAATTAAAATTCACAATCTTTGACATTACCTAGCCATTTTGCGTTGTAAATTCCGGTGCAGTGTTACTTACCCTTACTATTTTATTAAATATGGGAGGTAGGTTTACTTTTTGCTTTCATATATCTTCTTCTTCTTCTTTGTCATGTTCACTAGCTGTAAACTGGTGGAAATATCTGGTTGTTCGTCCACTTTTGGACTGCAGTCCCATTCCTGAACCTGAGTGTTGCGTGTGCATCCATTTGACAGATCTGACACATTTGTGTGCAGACTGTTGGTTCCTTGCCTCTCAGGCAAATGCACTCCGACTTCGAAGGAAGCTCCCAATTAGTTGACTCTCACGACATGCTTTTGGGCAGGCAGTGGGTCAATTTTTGTTTTCCCCACAATAGGGCCCTAGAACCCACATGGGGGCTTTCATATTTAAAGGCAACCCATTAAGACTATTTTACACTTGTTTGAACATATCTGTTACCAGGTTTTCATTTCTCTTCACAGCTTCAACAGAGTGGCCTTATGCGTGCTAGTTCTCCATTACGCTGTGGAATCTCTGTATCATCTAGCCTTGCTGTGTCATTTCTCGGAGAAAATTGATATTGCTGCCAGCATGTGAGTAGTCAGTTATTAATGCTCTCCACCTTCTCTTTAGACCGTGTAATGTGGGAACACAAATGCATCCATACTTCAAGAACTGACTATTGAAGAAGGTTGGCTAATAAAGACGATAAAACACAGAACATTGAAATGTTTTGGTCACTTGAAACGTCACGAAAGTTTAGAGAACAATACTGGAGAGTTATATGCCTGGAAAAAGAGGAAGAGGAAGGCGAAAGAGAAGATGGGTACAGGATGTGGCGAATGATCTCCAGATGGGTGTGTTGGACGCGGGACATCTTGCTTGTGATCGAGAAGTTTTCCGGAGGGTTGTAATGGGAGCAAGGTTCTGCAAAGGACAGACTACTGACTGACTGAATGTGGAAACAGTATATACATGAACATTGATAGGTATTTTGTGACGTTTTCCCCGGCATAAGAATGGAGCAGTTATGGAAATGACACATTTGTCGTAACGTTGGAATTGAGACAAATGACCTGTGTGAACAGTTAAGGTAATATCTTTGCAGGGGATGCTGCATGTGTGAAATGTTAGATCTTCGTATAGTTTAATCATAGTTTAATGAGGTCACATCACGTGTTGCTCTCCGTGTGGGTTCCGGAGCCCCATTGTGGGGGGGAAACAGGAATAAACCCACTGACTCCTAACAAGAATGTCAAAAGAGTCGACTAATGGGAGAAGGGGGAGTGGGGCATTATTTGAGCTCATCTGCCTGAGAGGCAAGGAACTAATAGTCTGCAGACTAGCAGTATGTACGAATTGTAAAACAGATATGCATGCCACACCCAGGTTCTGAAACAAGACTAAAGTCTAGAGGTTTTCCTTTTCTGTCATTCCAGAAAATTATAAAGATTGTTTAACCTACATATAACGCTAATGGCAGACCCCTGTACCTTCATTTTTACAATGGAAAAAAGTGCAGTGGCTAACTAAAAATTAGTTGCATAACTTTTGCAAGACATCGCTGAACCAGCCTCAACATTGTTTAGCTGTATGTGATTTCAATAGGCAATTTTGCATTAAGTAGTTTGCGATCAATTCTGAATGGTCGGTCCTCCGTACCACTGTCAAAATCAACACTGAGTAGTCTGTTGTCTAATCGCCCCGCAGCTGGAATTAAACCACGTATCTCTGAATTACAAAGTCTGTTCACAGAGCACAAGCCAGAGAGTCAATGGCAAACTATATCCTCTTCATGTGGCTGTACACACATAAGGCATTCGCAAGCAATCTCCATTGCTGCTGGTCTGTTGCTTTTCTGCATTTCGTATCCAATGTCATTTTACGTCTCTTCACTTCTTTTTCTACCGTCCTTCTTCAGGTTTCTTTAGGTTATCCATGTCTCCTTAAAAAAAAAAAATCTTCTGTCCATTGGACAGCTAATGGCAAAGTACTGAATGTAAAAAAACACTATTATTACCGGGGTTGGTTTTGTAACGTTCTGTAAAGGATAGTCAGCCAGCTCAAAGCTTAAGACAGATACAACCTTTGAGGTGTGAAGTGTTTGACCTGTTCACACTCATCAGTCTGGCACATGATGATGATAATGGTGATGACTGTGTCAGAAAGAAATAAGTTCCAGAAGTAGAAATAAAGCCATAACTGTAATGTAAGTTCTTTAACTCTTTCAGCAACTCACCAAATGCGCAAGGTATAGACTGGCTAACTTTGTCTGTTCCATTCTTCTGTTACAATCATCCTTTATACGGCTGTGGCTGTGTTAAGCCATCCTGCTCCATTTGTCTTCAATTATAATTCACTGGGATACAGAGACTCTTGCTCTAAAGTACTTAAACTCTGACTTAGAAACAGTCGAAGCTAGCTTTTTACTTACTTACTTAGTCGCTCCTCTTCTACCTTGGGGTGTAGAGGTTTGCCAGAGAGATCGCCAGATGTCTCTATCAGCAGTTTTCTTTCTAGCTAGCTTTTTCACCCCATTTATATTTAAAAAAAATAGGTAAAAGGGGAGAGGGAGTCAAGAATGTGTGTAAATTCCTTGAAAAAATCTTTTAAGCAAATTAAATGACACTAATAACATAAAAAAAACATCTTTACATTGCAAATTGTTTTTTTTTTTTTTGAAATATACAAAGATGTATAATGGAGTAAGATATATAAAGGAGTAATCAATAAACACGAACAGGGTGAAGCATTAAATAGAATGCATTCTCTGGGGCCTAAAAAAAATGTGTATCAGGTGACTCCTGTCATGACCCCGTGACCTCTACCACTGAGGCTTATGGGAAAATTTACCATCAGTTTGGCTTGCCTTTTAAAAAGCTGTTGGGATCATGAGTAACCTCCTTCCCCCCAGCCTCCCTCTCCCAGCCCCTCCAATGCTTGTATTTTTTTAAAAGTGACTTCATTATATCCTGGCCTATTCAACACAGTAGTCTTGAGTAGTAGAAGGGAGCACTCTTGGGTTACCTCTTGTACCATGATGTTGATGCGTCGTCTAAACCTAAACATTTTCAACACAGTGCAGGCATACATAGGACCAATAGAATTTAATTACGCTTTTTTTTTTAGAACTGCAGTCATGGCCAAAATTCAGCATTTTTGTGACTGTCACAGCCGGAAGTGACTAGATTTAGTCTTCTCGGAGTGACGGGATTAAAGTTATTTAAGATTGTCTGAAATCTTGTTTAGATTTGTGGCTCACATTTTAATGGATTCCTGTGCCTTTTCACCTACAGATTTACAGTATTTGATGTGCTGTTTGTTCTAGTCAGGCTTGGGACCATCACACTGGCTGTGCTCACTTTCTGGTAAGTAGTTGTTTTCCCATAAAGGGTTGCTTGAGTGAGTTTAAATCTAGTAAGATGATTGAAACTGTAACAGGCCTAGCAATCCGGCAGTGGATTAATCCTTTCTTAAAGAAGCAGTAAGAAGAGAAATTAGACTGATCCTTACGGGCAGGATCAGGAATTATGATACAAGAGGAAACAAGCAGTGATGGACCCATGATAAACTGCATCAAGACTACCACAGCGAGACCTTTTATTTAGACCTAGTGAAAGCAGAGCCAGTGGTCGACCACACAAGTGATGGATAGATGGAATATCCGCGGCCGTGTATACGAGCATTTGTTTGGCACACACACCAAGGCTTGCATCTGATGCCTCTTCAAAACGTGATGCTTAAAGGTAGAATAGGATTAAACTATAAGAAGAAGAAATGTGGTGAGAAGGGTGGGGCGCAAGTGTTCAACTGGAACATATGTCTGTGTTTTCTTCTCTTCCTTTCTTTTTGTTTTTGAGTTTGAAAGAGAGAGAGAGAGAGATACCCCGTGTGGGTTCCAAAGTCTCATTGTGGGGTTAAAAAAAAGAATCACTGTCCTCCTGACAAGCATGTCATAAAAGCTGAGTAATTAGGGGGGTTTCCTTCAAAGCCAGAGTAAATCTGTCTAAGAGGCAAGAAACCAGCAGTCTGCATACAAATGAGTCAGATCTGTAAAATGGATGTGCACACAAAAGTCAAGTTCTAAAACAAGACCAAAGTCTAGAGATGGATGAACAACCAGGACTTTGCTAAGAAGATGAAGAATGTGGGATCCTGTTAGTTTGTGTGCCCATGCCTGATCATCATCATCATCATCAATTTTCACTTCTGCCATTAAGCATTGTGGGGAGGAACAGTTTACGATCCATTGCTTGAAGGGCAGCAATGGCTTTTGTCATTCAGTGTCGATGTGGAAGCTCTTTAATGTCATCAGTCCATCTTCTCCTAGGGCGACCTCTTGCTTTCACTTCAGATCTTTTCATGTGTAGTGCCTGCATTGGTAGTTGTTCTGGCTGCATTCTTACTAAATGACCAAACCATTTGACCTTCTGTTTCTCAATGAATTTGCTGCATGGTGTTGTTCCGACAGTCTGTCTGATAATATTATTTCTAACTTTGTCTTGGATGGTTAAGTTGGCAGCATTTCTCAGGCACCTCATTTCACAGGTGTTAATTTTACATAGGTTAGCTTTTGATAATGTCCAAGTCTGGCACTGGTAGCACAGTTTTGGTGTGAATATGCTATTTATAATCTGTTTCTTGGCGCTTAAACTTATCTTCTTCTTCGCATTCACCAGCTGTAAACTCCGGTGGAAAGTTCTGGTTGTTCGTCTACTTCTGGACTGTAGTCTTGTTCCAGAACCTGAGTGTTGCGTGTGTATCCGTTTGACAGATCTGACTTATTTGTATGCAGACTGTTGATTCCTTGCCTCTCAGGCAGATGCACTTCGACTTCGAAGGAAGCTCCCAGTTCGTCTACTCTTACGACATGCTTTTGGGCAGGCAGTGGGTCTATTCTTGTTTTCCCTATAATAGGGCCCCTGAACCCACACAGGGAGCTTATACTTATGTTTGAATGTCTTAATAATGGTGTCAGTTGGTATATAAGTGCACTGGCTTGTTGGCATCTTATTTCTACTTCCCCATCTATTCCTCCATCCTCTGAGAATGTACCTGTGCCTGATGCTGTTGCATATTCTCCATGCTGGTGATGTAAACCACAACGAATCCACTGTTGGTAACACAAACTTCCTCTGTTGTAGGTTTGGTCTGGCCCAGTCAAGTCAGCCAGCCATAGATGTGGCTACAGGAAACTACAACACCTACATTGTCAGGTCAGTTCCCTTCTGTAACTCTTATTATACATGCAGAGAAATCCTAATCTACTTATAGAGAACTCTTAGTCTACTCACAGAGAAATCTTAGTCTACTCACAGAGAACTCTTAGTCTACTCACAGAGAGAGAGAACTCTTAGTATACTCAGAGAGAACTCTTAGTCTACTCACAGAGAGAGAACTCTTAGTCTACTCACAGAGAACTCTTAGTCTACTCACAGAGAGAGAACTCTTAGTCTACTCACAGAGAACTCTTAGTCTACTCACAGAGAACTCTTAGTCTACTCACAGAGAACTCTTAGTCTACTCACAGAGAGAGAACTCTTAGTCTACTCACAGAGAACTCTTAGTCTACTCACAGAGAGAGAAATCTTAGTCTACTCACAGAGAACTCTTAGTCTACTCACAGAGAACTCTTAGTCTACTCAGAGAGAACTCTTAGTCTATTCACAGAGAACTCTTTGTCTACACACAGAGAACTCTTTGTCTACACACAGAGAACTCTTTGTCTACACACAGAGAACTCTTTGTCTACACACAGAGAACTCTTAGTCTACTCAGAGAGAACTCTTAGTCTACTCAGAGAGAACTCTTAGTCTACTCACAGAGAACTCTTAGTCTACTCACAGAGCACTCTTAGTCTACTCAGAGAGAACTCTTAGTCTACTCACAAAGAACGTTTAGTCTACTCACAGAGAACTCTTAGTCTACTCACAGAGAACTCTTAGTCTACTCACAGAGAACTCTTAGTCTACTCACAGAGAACTCTTAGTCTACTCACAGAGAACTCTTAGTCTACTCACAGAGAACTCTTAGTCTACTCACAGAGAGAGAACTCTTAGTCTACTCACAGAGAGAGAGAACTCTTAGTCTACTCACAGAGAGAGAGAACTCTTAGTCTACTCACAGAGAACTCTTAGTCTACTCACAGAGAACTCTTAGTCTACTCACAGAGAGAGAGAACTCTTAGTCTACTCACAGAGAGAGAGAACTCTTAGTCTACTCACAGAGAACTCTTAGTCTACTCACAGAGAGAGAGAGAACTCTTAGTCTACTCACAGAGAACTCTTAGTCTACTCACAAAGAACGTTTAGTTTACTCACAGAGAAGTCTTAAAATCTACTTACATAAAACATTTCATCTGCTTACAGAAAACTCTTTAATCTACTCACAAAGAACTGTTAAAATCTACTTACATAAAACATGTAATCTGCTTACAGAAAACTCCTAATCTTCTCACAGAGAGCTCTTAATCTTCTTACATAGAACTCTTGATCTACTTACATAGAACTCTTGATCTGCTTACAAAGAACAGAAAACTCTTATTAATCTACTTACAGAAAACTCTTATTACTTACAGAAAACTCTTATTACTTACAGTGCCAAACCTGGCATATGGAAGTGAATCGTAAACATTTAGCGAGTTAATCAGAAACTATGTGGAATCAGCAGAGATGTGGTTTTATAGATAAATGATGAGAACACCCTGGACAGATAAATAAAAGTAAAGATGTCTTGAAGAAATTAACTCACAAGAACAACTGATTACTCACATCTATATTTTTTAGTTATGTCATGAGAAGGAGAATGCTGGAGTACATGGTGACAGTAGGAAAGTTAGAGGGGGAAAGAGGCAGAGGGAGACTAAGAGAAGCTGCTGGACAATTTGACGTCATGGCATGGAAGACCGTCTGTTCAGAAATGATCAGATTCCACGAGACAGGAGGCTGTGGATAGAGACGACCACCATTGCCACACCATTGGGACTATAAGAAGAAGATTCATTAGCAGCACCAAACACTGGACTACAGCTTTGGCTGACTGGAAAAGATCATATCAGAAACACTATTCAAGTCTGATGGGTCTGTGGTTGAGGTGGCCAGAAGAGCAGGAAGCAAACTTGATGTTGTTCACGATTCCGGGCCCAGGATTAGTGTAACTTCCTTTACCATTCATGCCTCCTTAGGTCGCTGGACCTCTCCTATGTTGCAGGGGAGTCATGTTTTCCTTCCTGTGAATGGTGTAACATTTGCCTCTTTTTTTCGTCCTCTCACCACTCGCTTGCGTGATTATTTTCACGTTCTGTTACCTGGCGACGGTTCAGGATATTTTTCTGTTCCTGTGCTGCTTGTAACTGCTTTCTTTCTCTCGGGATGGGGGTGGGGGGGAGGGGCTGGAAATGTGAACAGGTCCGCAGAATTTTATATCTCCCTCGACATCCGAAGCAGTGAAAGAGGGAGTTAAGAAGAAGAAGGCACATATTTTAGACAAACATAATTTTGTGACATAGTAATTCAGTCTACTAGTAAACCAGGCTTGCAGGTGGGATGGGAATCCATCTGGTTAAATACTCCTTTAAACTGGGACAGACCCAGCAAGCCTGCAGGGATTAAAACTAAGCTCGAAGAAACAGTGAGAGAAATGACATCAGGAAAGAAGTTGGGCTGGAACTAGTATTACACTGCACCACCAGATAGAGTACCACAGAGAGCGTTGTCACTTTGATATAATGGAAGTAGATCCAGAGGTTGACCATGCAAGCGATGGATAGATGGAATGGTTGAACCATAAATAGGAGCACCTGTGTAGCACATACCAAGGCTGTCACCCGATGCCTATTGAGAAGCGAATGCTGAAAGGCAACACAGGACGAAAGAAGAGGAAGAAGAAAACTATGGGTTCTAACCCAAAGTGCAGACATACATAAATTACTTTAACACAGCCCTCACATTGCAGCCAACACCCTAATGTGTTGCGACGACTCACAGTTTGGAAAGCTCTGCTATAGCCCACTCGGCACTTGATGGCTGATGTCACTATCACGCCAGCCAGGTTTACTGTCCAACACATTTCGCGGTGTCCATTTTAAACCCTGTCTAAAGTAGGTTATTGTAAAAACTGACTGGGCCAAGGTAGGTTAACATAAAGTAACCGATGGAGAAACACAAGAAGTTGGCAGTTTTTCTGTATGGCTTTGGTTTCAGAATTAATTGCCTGATTGCCGTTTGCCTGAGTCAAGCAGGGTTGATGTGGAACTTCATCACATTCCATCTCCGCAAGTGGAGGGAGAGGTCTGGCGGCAACAAGCGACTACGCTCTCCTCTAAAGAAGAAAGCTCCTAAAAGTAAGAACAAATCTGACAGTGTGACGGGTGTTCAGAAATTAATGCTCTTCATTTTTGTTCTCTATCTGTGCAAAGTCTATTCAATTCATTGAGCCTTTTTTGTTGTATTGCAGTGAATCCAGGAATGTGAGCAAACAAATTAAAAAGAGTTTAGAGGCAACAGAGATGATGTTCTTGAGAAGAATTTTGCAAATACCTTGGACTGCAAGAATAACTGACAGTGATTGCCAGGACATGTCTAACGAAAGTAGAACATTTTATACAAAAATTAGGAGGAGACAAACAGTTCTTTGGTCATGTGATGAGAAAATGAGCACTGGAAAATATTGTGACGACTGGAAAGATCACTGGTAGAAGAAGCAGAGGCAGAACAAGAGAAATGATGGTGGATGGCCTAAGACAGTTGCATGGTGGGGGAATATATCAATGGAATTGATCCAGAACACCAAAGACCGAGATTTGAGATGCATGAATGCATACGCCAGCTGGCAAGGCACTTGATGATGATGATAATATTAAATTCACTCACAGTTTAACTCATTGTCCTTTACATATCCTAATGTTCTATACAATCTCTATCTACTACTTTAGCCTTATGCCAGTGTGAAACAAGGGCATGCACACTTTGCCTTTATAAGTCTTTCCTGTTTATTATTTTCTTCACAGCATGAATAACATTCCTAGACTTGTCTCTCCACTTTCTGAGTCCTAAACTCTCTAGACACATGGATTAACGGTGCTCCCATAGACTGCAGAGCTTGCATACATTGCTGACCAACGTTGTATAAATGTTCACCACAGTTTATGTTTCCGCAACCAGCAATTTTATGTCAATTCTCTGTAACGCATTTTTTCCCTTGCCATCTGTTTTTAAGGATTAGTGCAGCTGTTTTGTTGTTGTTTTGTTGTTGTTGTCCGAATGTATTGACACTTTGTACATACAATATTGACATTTCACATATTGTGGGTTCCTAGTACACTGTTTTGAAGAATAAAAAAAAATAGACATACCCCCCTTCCCCCGCCCCAAAAAGCTTGATGAAAAAGTCAGTTAATTAAAGGGGTGCTTCCTTCGAAGTCAGAGTACATCTGTCTGAGAGGTGAGGAACCAACAGTCTGCATACAAATAAGCTAGATCTGTAAAACAAAATGTGCATGCAACATTCAAGTTCTGGAGAAAGACTAAAAGACATGGACAGAGAACAAGAACTTTCTGCTGGATTCTGCAGCTGCTGATGAATGTAAAGAAGAAGAAGAAAGGTTTTCGTTGCAGACCTGTTGAGCTTGAGAATTGTGCAGTAGTGCGCTGTTGGAGAGATGGAACTTCCGATACCATCATGTCATGCACAAGACTGTCATATTTCAGGGAAACAAAAACAATTTGTTGGCACCTTTCCGTCTTTCTAGATGACAGTGTTATATTGCGCTATGAGGAGGCATGAGACTCACAGTCCATGGTGAAGACGAGTGTGACTAGCAAGCCATGTTAAGAAAAGTCTTTCACAATTATAGATTGGGATTTCAAGACTTTTGTTGCCAGAATTTGTGTTAAGTGTGTTTCTTCTCAGATGCTTAGCTCTCATTCTTTCTGCAATAATTTCTTCCTTCATGCTCTTTCCCTTTCTGATGTTTACCCTCCATGCAACATGGTCAATGGCATTTTGTTCCTATGAATCCACCTCGGTATCTGTATCATTCATGTTCAGCCTGCACACATCTTTATATGGTAGTAGAGGTCTGCCTCGCCATCTTCTACTTATCTTTAATTCACCATAGAGGATGTCCTCAGGGACTCCAACATTCTCCATTCTCCAGGTGTGAACTAGCCACCTGAGCCTTCGTAGACTGAGCTATTTATTGATCACTCATCACCATCATGTAGCAGGTCCTTTGCAGAACGTCGCTCTCTTCACAGTCTGCCTGAAAAAAACTTGGTCTCTCGCCAGTTCTCCTGCCTCATCCTCATGTACTTTCTTACTCAAGGAGTAACTTATATCCTGTGCCCATCTTCGTGTCGGTCGGCCCCTGCTCCTCCTTCCTGGCACCATGCTTCTGCAATAATTTTTCTAATCTGTCGTGGCGCTTGATATGACCAAAATATTTCAGCTTCCGAGACAGGATGCTGTTTAGCCAATCTTCCTTGATGTTCAGATCTTTCAAGATGCGTGTATTTCTCCTCTTCTTTGTCCAAGATATTCTGAGATCTTTCTATAGCATTTCAGCTCAAAAGCCCCTATTCTCTTTCTAAAGGACTGAGAGATAGTCCACGACTCACATCCGTATGTAGCCACAGGGAAGATGCATACTCTCAATATTCTAATTTTGATCTTCTTGCTGGTGCTTAACTTGCTGGTGCTTAACCATAGAATTTTAAGACTATTGATCACTACATTGATAAATAAGCACACTGTCCACTATACCCTTATTCATATAGTAGATAAAGTAAAGGGCCTTTCTTATGCCAGTGGTTAATTGGACATATGGTGCCGTGCCATCCCCCTCCCTGTTGCTACCTGAAGGTTTGACCACTCTTAGATTAGAAAACGTCTGGTAGTCTTAGTTTCAGCTTCATAGTAAATGGGTCGCTCCATCTTTGCTCCGCTCCTGTGCCAGAAAACGTTAATCTGGATAGCAGACCAACAGGTACCCCATTCATCCTCCAAGAACAAATTCCAGAGGTGGACAAACAGCCAGAACTCCTTCCTCCCTGGGTGGTTACAGCCGGCGAACGCGAAGAAGAAGAAAAAGTACCGGTACTTTCCCAATATCTGACCACAAACGGGAGATTCACAGGTCCCAGAACAATCTAAAATTTCAGGGGGTGATTGATGAAGCGTATAGTGTAATAATTTGGCACTTCATTTGGGAAACCCAGTCTTACCACCTTTGAAAATATTGGACTGTCTTGTGATGTCATGTGTGGTCGGCTATTAGGAAAGAACCAAAGAACCTCCAGAAAACTTTTTATTGGGGTAGCCGTACCTGCCACGCTGGCCTGGTGGATAAGGAAATCAGTGTTGATCATAAAATGATGCTAGATGCATATTTCTATAGGCTAATTGGCACTCAGAGAATGATATGGTCAAGGTCACCTTTACTTCCCAGGACATTACCTGGTACTTATTTTAGTCTGTGTTATTCTGGGAGCCAAGGCTAGTTTTGAAAAGAATCCAGAGGGTGTTTTATTAATATCCTACCCAGAACAGGGGAAATCTACAGGTCACGGGACAGTCTAATATTTCAGGGGGTGGTAGATAGGCTGTATGTAGCTGTGGGACTAAGACTGCATGCATTCGTGGGACTTAGGCTGCACTCTCTCGTTGGACGTAGGGGGGTTAGGGTTAGGGCCAGTTTTAGATGTTTTGGGGTCATTAAAAAAACATCAGAAAGCAGGGAAACCCAGTCTCACCACCCTCTAAAATGTTGGACTGTCCTGTGATGTCATCTGGGGTAAGATGTTAATAAAGAACCGAATCCAGTTTTCATTCTTATGACTAATAGAAATACTGAATGCTTCTTTCCTTAGTTACTGTCTTCCCTGAGGACCTGGACTCTCTGCCTGAGGTGGATCAAAACGCTGCTGCAGAAAACGACAGTTTTAGAGCACGGAAAATTAAGAAATAAGACTTCCCAGTGATAAATGTCTCTTTCATCACAAACACAAGTAGGATTTATGTCGTTGACTTCGGCAGGATGAGCTAGTAATTTTGTTTTTATGGTTAGTGTATGAGTGTGTAATTTGAACAGAATGGTACATATTTGTGTGGAAGATATAGCAGAAAAGAAAGAATTTGAATAAGCCACGTCCCCTGCTCCAGGAAGTGGGCAAAATCCACTCCACATCGAGATGGATTTTTTTCAGCATTGACCTTTGCTCCCAGGTCAACCTAAAATGGGTGCGAGTTAATCATGGGAAGTAAAGGCGGCTGGCATGAGGTTGATACATCATCCATCAAGTCAACATCTTTCAGGATTAGTATAGAGATTGTATGTTTCAATGCTTGATTGTTTATAGCGTTGTATTCCGTGAGATCAATGTTTACTGAGAAAGTTTGTCATATGTCATGATTATGTGTGGTTTTTTTGTTGACTGATTATTGTTGTTCTCAATTTATTTTAACATACAATTTGGTGAACGCTGAACCGTGACGATGGCTAGATCTTATTACAAATGAAATGCTTAATTATTTTTTTTTTCTTTAAATTGTACTGAATTTTTTGTGAGTCCTGAACCATGTAGTTAGTCAGACATGGAAAAATGTGTTACTTATTTAGTTCTTGTTACAAAAATAATAATAATAATACAAATTAATTGTTTTTGCAAGTTGAACTATAATGGTAGTCAAACATTATAAAAAATTAAATGCTTAATTTTGTTTTCAAATTGTATGTCATTGTTGGCGCAAGCTAAAGCCTGAAGTAGTAAAATACTGTAGAAAGTTGGGTAATTGCTATTTGTTACTCTCTACACTTATAATAATTTTTCACGAATACTGAATTAGTCTTGCGGTACTATTGTAGTTGACATTAGTCAGATACTGTAGAAAATGAGATACCTAGTTGTTCTCCAAATTTTAAGTAATTGTTTTGTTTCATTGAATACTCGACTATGAAAAGTTGTCAAATACTATAGAATATGTTTCTTCTCATACGAGAAATGAAATATTTTTCTTAAATTTTGTGTTGGAAAACTTGACATGTATTGTAAATGAGTTTCTTGAGTTTTTAACCCTGTTGGCCTGAGAAGTCCCAAAACTGTAACTTTCAATTGGGTCCAGTTCCCACCAAGTGTCATTTTTTTTTACTTTTCTGTTCTCGACATGTTTACGAGATGAATAGTTCATGCTTTTGGCTGAATTTGCACCTGCTCACCGTTGAGTAGCTAGTAAAAATAGCATTTAGGGGGTTTCCATGTGGACCAAATAGCTTTTGTAAAGCCAAGTTGATGTCATAAATTTCCCGTAGCCCCAGTGATAGAGGTCATGGGGTCACAACATGAGTCAGCCAATACATGCTGTTTTTTTTTTTCAACATCTTCCATTCAGTAAGTACTTCACTCTGTTTGTGATTATTGATTATTCTGTTTATAAATCTTTATATACTTTGAAACAAAAAATGTAGATAACAATTGTTTTTCTGCAAATTTATTTGTTCTAAAAGATATTTAAGGAATTTCCACGAGGTCATGACCCATATTTTAAAGTGTTCCCGGAGATGACAGGGTTAAAGAACATCAGTTGTTTTCAAATTTATTTGCAATGCATTTAAAATGTTTGATTTAGAGAGCCTGATTGGTAATTTTATTGCAAATGCTGCTGTAAAGGTGTGAATCGTTACAGCATCGTATATACTTGTTGATACTCTGCCGTTTACCATAGTTATTGTTGAACATAAGTTTAAGATCGTGCAGAAAGACATGTCTACTACTTCTTCTCCATCTCCGCTGATGCTTTGCTTTGCAGCTTCAGATTAATAAGAGACACTTGGAAAGAGCTCTGCTCTGTGCCTCATAATGGTTAAAGCTTCGGAGATTCCCGCTTGCCATATTTCTATTATATCTAAGTGCTGAAGTCTTTTGTGGGCTGCTGTTTTGTGATGATTCTTGTTACATGACCAAACCATCTTATTCTGCTGATTTCTTTTACAGTATCACCCCACTTGATGTGCTAGTATCATTGTTTCTGATTTTCTTTCCTTCTTGCTGTGTTTAGAATTACTTGTAGATATTTCATTAGTTTTGTTTGAAATGTCTCTGTTCTCTTGTGTAGTAGTTGTGACTGCCTGAATACAGAAATTGCCAAGCAGTTTGCCTACTCGTTTATTTATTTGTGCACATATTTGTGTCCAGATATATGTATCTGTCTACTCACCTACCTACATACCTATATCCTTAGCAGTCGGCCTGCGCATTTATTTATTTATATACATATTTACACACAGACATACATATCTATCTGCTGACCTAGCTACCTACATATATGCCAAGGTCTGCGGATATATCTATGTAAATATATACATACCATCATTTATATTTAGTCATATGTCTACTGTTCTGTCTCCTTGCATATATGCATACCTGCATTTATAATTAGCATTGTCTACTGACCCATTTCTTGAAATATATTACATACATAATTTATATTAGCCGTCTGTCTAATGACCTGTTTGTCTACATACATAAATACATACATGCCTATATACATAGCCATTTTTCTGCTGATTTAGTTGGCATGTGTGGCTTAGGTGTTGCTAACTGACGTATCTCCCTACATATGTCCATCTGTTAACTTATCTCTGCACATATATTCATACCTGCATGTATATTTAATTAATTATCTACTGACCTTTCCTGCCTACCTCAGTATAACCATTTGTTTACTGACCTACCTATGTACATACCTAGCCATCCATCTACTTACCCATCTAACTACAAAATACCCACCTAGCCATATGTCTACTGTCCCACTTAGCAACACACATGCATATGTAGCCATCTATCTATTGACTTATCTACCTACAAAATACCAACCTAGCCATATGTCTACTGTCCCACTTAGCAACACACATGCATATGTTGTCATCCATCTATTGACATACCATCATATATATCCACCTACATAGATAATCCCCTAACTAGTCGACTTCTACGACATGTATGTTAGGGAAACAGGGGGTCCATTATGTTCAGTGAATTTATTTTTCATAGTTATCCGTCAACATACCACATGTAATATTTTTTATACACACCTACTTGTGCTCACACACATATGCACACTCTCTCTATCAAACTCCCTCTCGATGTCTCTCTCTCTCTCTGTCTCTCTTTTTGTGTTTGTGTGGCTCGGACAGATATTAAGTTTGTGACCACTTCAAATCTACAAATTGCTAGTCATGCGATATTCATTTTTATGACCAGTTGGTGTCCGTGTGCCACATAAGTGTTTCTTGTGCAGGGGGTCATTGTTTGTTTGCTACAGAAAGCCGCATCACAGAGAGATTGTGAGGTTAAACCAGTGTATTGCTGTGTCAGGTAATCACATCAATAGAAACTGGGATTTACATTCATGTTTATTCTCAAAAGAACCCTTCAGCTCATCGGGCGTATAGTAAACAGAAGTAAAGGTCTCTTTTCCACGCTTTTAGGCGTATAGGGCATAAGGGCTAGACCTGTATTTTTATAGACCAATCGGCACACGGTACCCACTCAAGGCTGGGTCAACATGGGAGTCATGGCCATTTAAAAAAAAAAAGTCCGGCTCCGCCAGGGAGCGAACCCACAACCTTCCAATCTGCACACGAGCGTCTAGCCACTATGCCACGGCAACTCCCGGGCATATGGTGCTAGACCTATATTTAATAGACCAATAGGTTCTCCACGGAGAATGTAGTCATCATCATTGCCGCCCACCTTTACTTCCCAGGACATTACCTGGTATACATTTTAGGCTGGGTTGACCCGGGAGCCAAGGTTGTGTTTGGGATGAATTCTGCCTGGATCTGGAATTTAGACCTTTGACCTTTAGGCTGGCAGGTGGAGCGTCTAGCCCACTACCTTACCACATATATGTTAGACTCACAGCTTGAGTATATGTGTGTGTATATATAAGTATGTATTTATGCATGCTTGTGTATATGTATATGTGAGAGAGAGAGAGAGAGAGAGGAAGTGAGAGAAAGGTAGCCTTCTGGTAGACCAGAGCTTCCTATTTTGTTTTTGTGTGCGGACACTTGTTATTATTTCTTGTTGTTTGTTTGATTTTTTCCCCCCTCCAGGGTTACTTTCTGAAATATTAGCACTCAGTGACTAAAAAAAAAAAAATTAAAAAAAAAAAAATATCAACTAAAAAAAAAAATATTTAGAAACCCTACTTGGATGAGAATCCTGCATGAACCTATCCTAGAAACCCCTTTCAGCCGTGTAACTGAATATACCGGGGCACCAGATCGTAATGGAGTAACTTGTTCATTTTGGGTGGGTTTCCTGCCGTCATCAGAGCAAATTTAAGGGAACTCATGATATTACTTACAAAAAGGAAACCGTCAGCTTTAGAATGCAGTCCCTACCATATCCCACAGTAAACCATTTGTACTCAATTCACTAGTTTGATGATCTTGTTCTATTCTGTGAAACAGCTTGGTCTGAAAGCGGAGCTGTGAATTGTTCATGTGGGGATGGATGCATGTATGCTGATGATGATGATGCGGGTGGAAGATTTATGTACACACTTTTACTGTGAATCAGTCTGAATTGTACTTACTTTGTTGTTATAGAAACGACAGTTTCTTAATTGTGTTATATTCTGTGAAACTGAATTGTACTTACTTTATTGGTATAGAAATCAACAGTTTGTTAATCTTGTTATATTCTTTGAATTAGTATGAATTACTTTACCGTATTTTCCCGTGCATAAGACGCCCCCTTTTTTCCCCTACTCAAAGTTAAGAAATAAATACTTTAAACACATTCTGTCTATGAGAACACACTAAAGAAATTAGGAAAACATACTGGCTTATACACAGAAAAGCCCGGCTCGTTAGCGTAGTTGGTTAAACCTGACTTCGCTGCGACCGGCTGACGAACTCCTTGTGTTCCGGGTTCACGCCCCGAGGGTAGGTAGAAAAGC